CTGTTGAACCGAGACCATCTATTATATAGTTCTGTTGAACCGAGACCATCTATTATATAGTTCTGTTGAACCGAGACCATCTATTATATAGTTCTGTTGAACCGGGAGACCATCTATTATATAGTTCTGTTGAACCGGAGACCATCTATTATATAGTTCTGTTGAACCGAGACCGTCTATTATATAGTTCTGTTGAACCGAGACCATCTATTATATAGTTCTTTTGAACCAGAGACCATCTATTATATAGTTCTGTTGAAACCGGAGACCATCTATTATATAGTTCTTTTTGAACCGGAGACCATCTATTATATAGTTCTGTTGAACCGAGACCATCTATTATATAGTTCTGTTGAACCAGAGACCATCTATTATATAGTTCTTTTGAACCAGAGACCATCTATTATATAGTTCTTTGAACCAGAGACCATCTATTATATAGTTCTTTTGAACCAGAGACCATCTATTATATAGTTCTGTTGAACCAGAGACCATCTATTATATAGTTCTGTTGAACCAGAGACCATCTATTATATGGTCTCTGGTTGAACTATATAGCCCTTACAAAGCAGCTTAAGGTCAACATTTGAGATTCCCCTTGAAGCTGCAGTAAATGACACTAAGAATTTCTACAGGTCTAGAAATACTGACTGACTGAGTATGGTTTTACACCGATTTTAGCAATATTCCAGCAATATCACACTGGGTGACACCAGAAATGGACTTCACAAATTGTGCCCGTGTGGGGATTGGAACCCGGGTCGCCGGGCCACGGCCAACGCTTTAACCATTAGGCTATCCCTCACAGGTCTAGAAATACTGACTGACTGAGTATGGTTTTACACTGATTTTAGCAATATTCCAGCAATATCACGGCGGGTGACACCAGAAATGGACTTCATAAATTGTGCCCGTGTGGGGATTCGAACCCGGTCGTCGGGCGAGACCAGCCAGCTTTAACCATTAGGCTATCCCTCACAGGTCTAGAAATACTGACTGACTGAGTATGGTTTTACACCGATTTTAGCAATATTCCAGCAATATCACGGCGGGGGACACCAGACATGGGCTTCACAAATTGTACCCACGTGGGGAATTGAACCCGGGCCTTTGGCGTGACGAGTGAACGCTTTAACCACTAGGCTACCCCACCGCCCCGGTCTAAAAATAGACAAACAGGACTTGGTATAGACGGTGGGTTAGTTTCTGAACATGTATATTTTTTATGGCAACAAAGTACTCCATTTAAACTGAAAACGTCCCAGTGAGATTTGCGATAGAAGGCAATCTAGACTCGCTTCATTGAAGGCCTCTACATGGCAGTAAGGGCTCTGCAGAAAGGAATCAAACTAAACTTGGTACATCAGGATACCACACTTGCCGCTGTCTGACAAGTGTTACCATCAACAGCTGGCCTTCTGGGACCCGTTGCCCACACTTGCCGCTGTCTGACAAGTGTTACCATCAACAGCTGGCCTTCTGGGACCCGTTGGTTCACACTTGCCGCTGTCTGACAAGTGTTACCATCAACAGCTGGCCTTCTGGGACCCGTTGCCCACACTTGCCGCTGTCTGACAAGTGTTACCATCAACAGCTGGCCTTCTGGGACCCGTTGCCCACACTTGCCGCTGTCTGACAAGTGTTACCATCAACAGCTGGCCTTCTGGGACCCGTTGCCCACACTTGCCGCTGTCTGACAAGTGTTACCATCAACAGCTGGCCTTCTGGGACCCGTTGCCCACACTTGCCGCTGTCTGACAAGTGTTACCATCAACAGCTGGCCTTCTGGGACCCGTTGCCCACACTTGCCGCTGTCTGACAAGTGTTACCATCAACAGCTGGCCTTCTGGGACCCGTTGCCCAAAGCTTCAAGGTGTGAAGAGCCAGCACAGCATACCCTGGGAACCTGGCTGTAAGTGAGGTGACTGGGGGTTAAATTCCTGGTATACCCATTGTGTAGATTGATGTTTATGATGTCGATTACCGGATTATGTGGTCGAATTGTCACAGTTATTTACAGAACACTGTCAGGTATCTGAATTATTGCTGAGTGTGGCGTAAGACAAAAAAACAACCAAAAACAAACAACCAAAATAAACAACTCTGAGTTGGTAATGTAACTTACAATTCGAAATGTTCTTGCATACTTCATGACAAATCCAAGGTTCTTATATACATGTACATTATGAGCACTACAGCATCTGTCCTATAACTTCTGTTCTCAAACTGTGATGGATGTTCCAGGACTAACCGCCACCACTGAGGTTAGATTCCATACACACCACACCAGGCAAATCATTTTACAATATATTTTGTACAATATAGAACAAACTTTATGGATAACAACTTCTTTTTAGTCGTGAGTGCGACGTTTCGATACAGATTCTTGTACCGTTGTCAAGCATAATGGAACATGAAGAAGGGGGAAGTATATATATGCTGGATGTAACAATCTACTGTATAAACTCTGCTGTATAAACATCTCATTATTATTTGTACATCATTGACTTCAACGCCTGTCCCTTGTCTACTCTCTGGCTACATCAGCTTTTTGCCTAGCCAATTATGTTAATTATGTTGTTTTCTTTGTTACATTGTTACATCCAGCATATATATACTTCCCCTTCTTCATGTTCCATTAGCTTGACAACGGTACAAGAATCTGTATCAAAGCCAATAATAGTTGTTATCCATAAAGTTTGTTCTATATTGTTTCCCAACTTCTAAAATGCCACTCAAAGAATATTTTTGTGTAGGCAAAAGCACGCTAGAGAAGCATGTGATCACAAAAGAAGTTAGAAAGTAAGATTGTGGTTATTGCTGTCCCAATATCAAGGACCACCTCTTCTTTCATTTCAGCAATATTTGTCAGATTTGTCAGATTTTTCTTATTGACACTTTCCTTCATAAGTCCCCAAACAGTTTCTATTGGATTTAGGTCAGGGCTATAGCTTGGCCAATCTAATAATGTCATATTTTGGGTCGAAACCTGGCCTGTGAATGCTTTGAGCGATGTTTTGGTCGTCGTCCTACTGGAAAATCCAAAAATTTCCATAGAACACATGAGCAGATGGAAGTAAATGTCCCTCGAGAATATCTGTGTACCGGCTCACTGTTCATATTCCCTTCAATACACAGAGGGATGTTGCCCCTAACACAGATATGCCACCCCACACGTTAAATTTCGAACTGTACTTAGGACGCTGAAAAAAAGGTTTTTCAGTTTGTTTGGTCCAGAATTTCAGTGTATTAGGAAACAGCCACATAGAACTTTCATCTGAGAAAATCACATTGTCCCAGTTAAAATTTCTATGCTGTAAGCACCAGTTCAACCTTCGCTCCTTTTGTCCAAATTTAATGATCGATGATGGAATTCCTCGACTTTTCTGCCAACCCATTGCATGCAGCTCAGTTCTAATTGTCTCCTTACAGACAGCCACAGTTCCTCTATCAATCAAATCCAGCCTTACGTTTGCTCAAGTCCTTTGTTTGTTTTTAGAAACAAGAATACCAAGCCGCCTCCTGTCACCGACAGTCAATTTTCTGGGCCTACCTGGTGCTCAATGACATATCCATATGTTATATTTTTCAAAAAATGATAAACAGTGGACAAAGGGATGCCTGTTCTATTGAAATCACTTTAGCTGATCTGATGTCCTTGTTATAATACTCTTAAATCAACTTCCTCTTCTCTAAATCATCCATACTGAGGATCACTGAAAATGTCGTCTGCTAGCAAGTAAACAAAGGAGGATAACTCTTCACAAACTAATGAAAAAGGATTAATGGAGTTGTCTCTCTTGAATGAAAGCAATCACTTGATAGCTGGTCAAGGATGTTTATACTAGAAATCCAATTAAACATATTCCTAAAATTCGCAATAAATTCTGGTCATACTATATTGATTCATTAACCTGTGCTGTGCCGTCTCCATCCTTTCTCGCACACCTGGCTGTCCCTTTCTCTGCACTCCTCCCTCGTAACAAATAGTAAATTGTGTCAATATTTTAATGATAGTTTGTTAAACAACTTTTTCAGTTTTAGGACATAAATTCTGCAAAAAACTCACAGAGTTGGTCTGACGTTTTGATTATGATCAGTGTTTCATTGAGTATTTTATGTTTATTAGTTTTTGAGTTAGATTGCAATTCATCGGTCCGCTTTTGAGCCAAACGGACTATAGTTGGGATTACACTTTCTCAGTGAAGTACAGATTCCAGTACTCACAAGTCAGCAATCTAACCCACTCAGCCAAGTGGCTTCCACTTTCTATAAGGCAGTGTGTCTTAATGAAACATTGCTACACAAATAATTGGCTGAATGTAGGACGTCAAAAGCCATTTTGGAAGGTGACATATTTTCCTCTTCATGCCACAGGCTGTCATCTGATGTCTGTCAGGCCAAGGGACATAGGTGGTAAAATGTGTAAGGCTATGCAATTTATTGGACAGAGTGGCAGCCCTTTAAAAAAATTGGTACCACAGATACCTGGCCCTGATTTCTTGAAACAATCCTAAGTCTGAGTTTTGATGTTAAGTTTTGACGGTAAGTTACAGTTTTTACTCAAATTTGAGAAAGAGCAGGAAAATGCATTTCCCAGAATGAACTGAAATGGATATTAAACTCAAACATAGTAGACAATTTGAGTTTGGTGGATAGATTACTTAAGTTGTTTGGGCTTTTTTATTTTAAGAAAGCAGCTGAGTTAAAAATATCAGCTGTTTCAAATTGTCAAACTCAGTTTGAAATTACAGTAAAAACTAGAGTTTGTTTCAAGAAATCAAGGCCTGATTTGTAAAGATTGATGAACATCAGCACTTTACTAACACTTGTGGTTTTCCACCAAATGTGTAAAGGTCTAATATCTCCATTTATAGATCCAGTGGTTAATAGTATGCCAAACAGTGTAATCAACTCAATTTCGACAACAGAAAAGGCATTATAAGAACCTATTCTCAACCTGACTTGTAATCTAAGCATATCAACGAACAAGACAAACATTCATTCATAAAAGTCTTTAATCAAGAAGAACACTTATGCACACCATCATCCATCATCCCTATGAACGGAACTTCTCTTTCTTTTTACGGTTTTGCTTTGCAACTTTCAACAAATCAAAATCACTCGCCTTTTCCAATGGCTTCTCAAGGTCATACGCCATGAGCTGATTGTAGTATACAGGAAGCTTAAAATCAGTTCCGACCACAAAGAATGGTCGTTTCTTAATGGCTATATTCCCACCCATTGCTGTCAGGTAGGTTGGTCTCCTTGGCTTTGTATCCTTCAACTGAAAGTGTAGCCTGCTTGGTATCATTAACCAGTTCTGTACAATGGCTACATATCGATCTGTGAATGGTTCTAAATAGATTCTTCTAATACTTCTTCTGCTAACAGCATTTATGAACAATATGAGTGTGCTCCCGAACACGAAATAGCCCATTGCTGTAGCAGCAGGATGTGAAATGGAGAGATTGGATGGGATGTCGGCGGAATTCGTCACAACAATTGCCGCAGCTCCAATAACAGTTGGAATTGTCATTGCGTAGATGAACAGCTGGCTCCAGAATACGATTTTGTTCATGTTGTTTTCGTAAATCAACTGAAACTCTTCACTGACTTGGTCCTTGCCATACTGTGGGCGAAATGTCCGAGATTTCTTGGAGGTCAGGAGTTTCCACCTCACAAATACTTTGTTGACACTTGGCTTCCACAGTCTATTTGCTGTTGTTTCACTTCTAACCTGTAACAAAAACAAGGAGTGAGTGAGTTTAGTTTTACGCAGCTTTTAGCAATATTCCAGCAATATCATGGCAGGAGGCACCAGCAATATGCTTCACACATGTGGAGAATAGAACCCGGGTCTTTGGCGTGACGAGCAGACGCTTTAACCACTAGGCTACCCCACTGCTGCTCAAAAAACAAAGAATCTCTATCAGCAAGCAATGTTCACAGTTAGTGTAAATACATACTGTATTCACTAGTCAGGCTGCAAGGAATCCACTATGAGGTGAATATGATACGTATCACGAACACTAGGTTATAACTACACATATTGGGATATGAGTCGAGTCAGCAGTTGTTGTATTATTCATTATATTCCGTGAAACAATAACAAAATATATCCTTTGACACATTTTGACAATGTCGACACTTAATTTATCACAACAATGACCAATTACCATAACACCATCAAAATGAATATAGAAGTTATTCAAATGAAATGTATGTTATATTTGGCAATATAATCTGTACTATACTGAGGAAGTGTAATCCTAAATATAGCATTTGCTCCCTTTCTAAATGGCACTGTGTATTCATATAACAGTGCTGGGACTATATTCTGTCTGGCTTCCTGTTTTCATATCTTGCTTTGATAAATAACACACAAATTCAAGTAAAAACACTCTGAAAGGCACAATGTCACACATTTACGACAGTATTTTGGCCTATATTTTATATATTAGGGGCATATGCACTCACTTTGGCTTTCTATTGATGCAATAAAAGACTTATTATCCCATCCAACTTGCCTGGAAATGATAATTGAAACTTCGAGGTGAACAGCTTTCAAACAGATAGCACTTGCCATATATGGAATACAAACCATTGCTCTGTACATCGAAATCTGTCGCACGCAGTGTTGTCGGTGTTTGCCAAACTGGTTTCAATCACAAGTTGTGTTATAGGATATTTGTAAAGAGTGCTCTAATGGACATAACTTTAATGCAACTTTGCATTAATTCATTCGAATTATTTAATTTAATATTGTAATCTAAATATGTAATTCTTTTTGGAATAAATTATATGGTAGCTTCCCTGAGGGCTGATAGTTAGTATTTTTTTGAGAAATGTGGTGTGACATTGTGCCTTTAAGTTTGATCATGAATAACAATTTGAATCCACCTAATACAAGAGTAACGGCAGCGGTACCCTAAACCCAACTAAATCCTGGATTCCACACATGATTCGCAAGCACCTTGAACCTATTCTCCAATGATTTCCGATCAAGGCAACAAAGATTTGGGTAATGGGGACATAATCTGCCCAGTTTACACTTACAGCTAACAACTAATTAACCAGGGACTCCATATTGTTGTGAAAATCCTCAAGATCCAATCCAACCATAGCTTTAAAATGGAGGAGACGTTCCTACATCAAATATTAAATTAGTAAATTCCACAAAATGGCGTCTTGAGCATGTACTAGTTGCTTGGATATGTGCGCTGTATAAATATCCTATAACAACAGGGAACTTAGGATTCCCTAGAATCCCCATTTATTCTGGCATTCCTACATTGATACAAAAATAAACAGATTACTAGTACCTGAAGACCTGAGAAAAGTCTGTATGTCTGAACCTGAGGGCTGCACACCCTCACATACCAGAAGGCTCGAAGCAGAATCATTGTCTGCCAGTCTCACCTGTCAGTGACAAAAAATTATAGGTATTGCTACAGAAAATCAAAACAGTGCACTGCAAATATCAATCAGACCATTGCTGATTATTTGAACTTATGAAGAAAATATCTGAGCATCTGTACTAGGTCACTTTGGGTGAAGAAAAATTGAAAGAAAACGTTGCACACAGAATAAATAGATAAATAAATATGTTAATGCCACATAAGAATAATATTGGAGGCCAGTTAGGCTACTGTGGTTTTTGCCAGCACAGACACTAGAAAATGGCAATGGCACTGCTGGTACTTTATTGGTCACAATAACCAGGGAGAAGAGAAGATGCTGTAGATTATCCCTGCAATAACTAAATGCTGCACACGCAACAAAATTTATGGCATTTGACACAAATGGCAAACAAATACAACATGAAAACTGCCTTACACTAATGCTGTGTACATTGCCAACCTTGGGTGCACATAAAGATCTGTCACATGTTCTTAGTCAACATGGTCTTCAAAAAGTTAAAAATGCATCATATTCATTGAATCTAAATTTAGGTGGAAAAATGTGACTGGGAATGGAGGCTTATTCTACCTAGGAACATAAAAAGTACGTGTGTAGTATATAACCAGAGACCATGGTCTCTCTTAACGAACACAAGTGGCTTTCAATCTACCATAACTCTTTGGCTACATTCGACATTGATAATGTCAACTTTATCACATGGCACGATCCTACGTGTTTGGATTGATGTGTTCTGAAATCAAAACGCAATTATTGATATTTAGAAGTAAGGCTGCGGACTAAATCAGAGGTATGACAACCTTGTTGTGCGTATTTGACATAATTCAAACGATGCAATTCTTGATTGAAATACAACACGCACCTGTCTGTTATAGCGAGTGCGACCTCTATGACCAACGCCACCCTGCGGTGGTTTTTAGAACCACTTCCCGGAAGAGGCTTGGTTAATGGAGTCTGGTGGTGACACATATCGCCTAAGCATGACGAAAATTCACCATTTCGTACTACTGTATGTGAAATCTGGATAACTTTTTATTTTATTTGCCGTTTGAATATATTAAGCCGTGGAATATTAGCACATATTGTGCAAAGATTGACGAATTGTCACAAGCAGAGCGGAATTAGCAAGCGAACCCAGCGACAATGTCGGACCAACCAGGAACTAGAACTCTGCCCCCTGCCCGAACGTCCAAAAGTCACTTGGAGAATATTAAAAAGGTGGCTGTTACAATGCAAGGACAGCAGGCATTGTTCCTTGAACTTGACCAGGTAAACATTCAATAATCTTTCATTCCTTACAGAGTCTTCGTTCCATATTTACGATCTGTCACTTTTGCCATTATTGACATTTTGGCGCAGACGTCAATCGACCTGTCACGTTGGTTTACAGGACTTTGGTTTAGTTATGACCCTGGTTTTGAAAAGAAAATTACTAGTTACAAGTTAATAAATTACCGTTAGTTGAGAAAGCTCTATATTTTGTCAGCGTGTCGTCATTTTACGAACAAAACTGGGTGGTAATCAAAGTGTGTTGGTGGTTTCTTAAGGTGCAAGCGTTTTCAAGTTGTTTTAATGACATTCTTGTCTGGTTAAGTGTATTATATGGAACTGTATGTCATATGTGCTAGAACCAGTTATTCATGGTTCCAGTTGATCTGTTTAAATTATATATGCATCAGTGCAGGCTTGTAAAGCATGTATATATTTCAACATAGCCACCTGCTGGCTAACTTCTGCCACAAACTTCCTTTAGTTGACCTTCATGAACCAATCAATGCCTTGTTGTCATTCATCTCAATTATAATTTGGAGGGAAACAAGTAGGACTCATGACACTTTTTTCTGAAGCCCAGGTTATTATATGAGAATTGTACAGTGTAGTGTCCTTGTTTGTTATTATCATGATTATTTTTACATTCATCAACCATCTGTGTGCATGGTCCACACTGGACGCTAAATAGTTAGTTGCAATATTGTCAGAAAAAGGATATTTCTGATGTTTCATCATTGTATGCAGTTGATTTGTATTTGAAAACCCAAACATTGTTTTCAAGTACACTTTTCATAGATTTGCATGTTAAACATGTGAAAAAATGGACTGGTTTTATTAGCCAAGACTTTGTTGATTAAAAAAAATAAATTTTTCGTGTCACTATAAGGAATACTTGAAAAAGTCACTGCTGGGTTTCAATTTTTTATGAATACTTTATAATGAAAACAAGACTTTTCATCTTACCTTCATGTAAAATACTTTAATTTCATTGGTCAATGAGGCTTGAACAAGTGTCCGTGTCACCACTCCTACGAGGGTGACAACTGGAAAAAATATTATTATTATTATTTATTTTTTTTATCATCATTATAGGATATTTATATAGCATACATATCCAGGCAACAATGCATGCTCAAGGCGCTGGTATTTTTTTCCCTCGATCATTGGATGTCAATCTCAATCTCAACGGCACATCATATTATCAATCTCAACTCTTGCAGCCACTAGGCACACTGAGTTATTGTGGCTTGCTCATCCTAATGAGGTACCCATTCACAGCTTGGTGGACTGGGACACATAGTCACAGAACTTAGTCCAAGTTCACTGCACGTTGCTGTGCCCGCAACTAGGTGTTTGGATGTATTCATGTGGCCACCATCTGGTCATATACCAACGGATTTGTGGGTTCTTTTAAGTGCACAGGGTTGTGACAACACTGAAAGAGTCTGCACACAAAGTTGACTCCAAGGATTTTACACACGGTCACAGGTGGGCTCGATCCCGACACCTCAACCTCACTGGATCACTAGCCTGACGCCTTAGCCAGATCGCCCACCGCGCCTCCGCTGCCACGGAAACCGCCAAACTCTCCACCGAGAAGCTGTATCTCTAACAATCGTATGACGTCATTATATGATGCATGCAGTGCCCGGAGTTCAAAAACCATTTAATTTGCTGTTTTGGAGTTCACTATGTACACATTTATATTACCGACTTCCACTGCTTTATTTAAATCATTTTATACATTGAATCGTTTGCACACTCAACTTAAACATAATGAACCATTTTTTATGAAGTTTTAAGCTTGTCAGATGTTTCACTGATTTTAAAAATCCAGTCGAGAGACAGACGCTATTTTGTTTACATGTCATATAGTGGGTAGTGATCTTCAAAATAAAATAAAATGATATTTTGTACATTTAACATGGCAGTAAGAGAAATACGTTGTATGCTTCTCCCTCAAGTAATACTGTCAGATGTACGCCTTTTTGTAACAGTGTCATCCCTCGCCTACTGACTTGGGTGACACTGCTACAAAGAAGCGTACATCAGACCATACTACCCTCAAGAGAAACATACATCTTATAGTGTATTTGCATTTATGAACAGAATGTACAGAAATTATTTTTGTGTGTCCTGTTATGACTTAGTTTCTTTATTGTATTTGCCATACCGCATGCATTGATTAACACAACAAAACTTCCTTATTTTCAGAAACGTCCCTTAGCTGCTATAATTCAGGATATATGTCAACAGTAAGTAAATTTGCACTTGTATCTTATTTACTTTTTGAAAGACAAATGAATCTTCATCATGTGTTGGCTTTCAGTTTCTTGCACAGTTCAGACCCAGTTCATTTCAATATATTTTTAAACATAAGAACAATATTGCTTGATAAGTTGTCACTGAAAATACCTTAGATCATTGGTTCGAATCACAAAATCACACTGATTATGTTCCTACAGTTGTCATAGCAATACCTGTGTGTTAGTGTCATCAAAGTAGTGGTGTATTATAAGGAGAGGGTATTCTAAGTCGGAGAACTTGTTCCTAATCCTTTTCTCAGTGAATAAAATGTGTTTCAAACAAACAAGTAGTGGTGTTCCGATTAATTGAAATAATCAAAGATTATCGCAGTTGCCAAATGACCAAGCAATCGATCACATTTTCTCATGATCGAACACAAACGATTTTGGAACCGCTGTAATAGATGCTTGATTGGCATTTTACCTGATGATGGGGCCAGAACAAGCCCTGAAACGTTGTACTCGAGAATAAAAGAAGATGTAACCCAGAAAAAATCTCTATGTTCGCTGTAATGGAGTTTGAAATACTTGATGATGGAACATATCTAGCATGTTGTTAGGACAAGAAAACGTGTTTATGTTTATGTTACACTGGAACTGAATCATTTTACAGTGGATGTGAAATTTGCAAATGTTATTTGTGTAGTTTCTAAATAAAACAAAAAACAACAACAAATGTTTTTTCTTTATACTTATCTGCAACTACAACCTGAATAGGAAAATCTAAAAAATGACGCTAACCAATTTGTTTGATGATTGGTCGTTGGTATTGAACCAATCATCAATTGTGAGATTTCAACCAATTCCCAACACTACATCAAAGTAGCAAATACTCAGGACTTGCATCACTGTGGGCTTTCCTCACACATCAGTGAGTGAGCAGGGCTCCAGATAAGTTTTCAACATCAGGAGTACGTACTCCTTATTTTTAAATATAGGAGTACTGGAAAACCTTAAGAGTACATTTCGTGTACTGAATGGAATTTAATGGGGTATGTGATCTTGTGTTTCGTTTTATATATGCACCAATCATGGCTACTCTTTTGTGTTAACTGATCAAAAAAGAAATACAATACTTTTTTTTAGATGAATACATCTGTAAATGATTCTAACCGTACACCGTTGCCGTGGTGTGTATCTGCTACGTTTTCTAAATTATTTCCTACCGTATCGTGCATATTTATCATCCGTACATACACCGATACGGCCCTTATCTGGAGCCCTGGAGTGAGTTTATTTTTTCGCCGCATTCAGCAATATTCCAGCTACATGGCACATCAAGGGGCATTGGGGGTAGCCGAGTGGTTTAGGCGTTCACTTGTCGCGCTGAAGACCCAGGTTCGATTCCCCACATGTGAACAATGTGTGAAGCCCATTTCTGGTGTCCCCAGCTGTGATATTGCTGGAATATTACTAAATGTGGCGTAAAACCAAACTCACTCACTCACTCACACATGAAGCCACTGGTGTTTGTCAGAGAGAGACGGATGAATTGTGATATAACTGAGGAACTGTTCAGACTAGTGTTGAATGTTCTCTCACTCATTAATGTTAAAATATGTTTCTACACATGCTTTCCATTCTTTTCTTTCAGGTGGAAGCTATCTGACCCCGAAAATTTTGCACTGCAGTTTTCCGAGCAGAATCGTCACAGCTACATCACTGATCAAAATCGGAATGAGATTTCAAATGGAAATGTTCTTACTCTGACATCTTCTCCAGGAAAAAAAGGCTCAAAACATTTATAGTCAACTGAATGACAATGCTAGCCAGCAGGATAAAATATCAGCGCTTCGTGATCTCTCCATCTTCTCCTCTGACATTTCATTTGCGATTGAGTTCATCAACAGGAATGGTCTCCCCTTGGTCATAAAATTTGTAACATCAGGAAATTTGTAAGTGTCCTTTGGAAATCATTCATCCTGTCAGATTGTTAGATTTATAGCCATATTTTGAAAACAACATGAGAACGTTTAAAAGAACTCTCTTCTGTACTGTCTAATATCCCTGAAGCAAGATTGCCACACTTGATAGTAACCTATGGTTATAATCATGATAGTGAACTCAAATTGACAGCTAATTTTAGTAATTTTTAACTGTAGTTTGTTATAATCATTTTGACTAAAAATGATTTTGTTATGACTGTCAGTTCTTTATAAGTGTGTTGGTTACGAACAGTTCAACACTGTTTACTGTATGTAGTTCCTAAAATAATTATCTAAAATCCTTGATTGTGTTGATAGCAGAGAATTTATGTTGACAATACATGTGACATGCCTATGGTGCATGTATCATTGGTGTTTCAGTAAGTGATTATTTATACAATGACGTCCAGTAATTCCACGCACCTAAGCACATCGATCGCAACACGGCAACTAACGTCTCTTATTTTTATGGTTTACGTGACTAAACATGCTGGTATGCATCATATTTACCTAGAAATATAAGTTTTATTGACGACTATAAGATTCTAACGTTGCATTATGCCATATGGTTGACCTTACCGGCGTTCTGACGACATCGTTTGCTGTCCGGTAATTCTGCGCAGCAACTGATGCGTATAACATTTAGCTGGAGATCCGAAGTATGGAAGCGTATTAGGGCCAGATTATTTTCAAAAATCACTTCATCAATGTAAGGAAGAATGTTTCATATTAAATCCAATTATGAATAATGAAGAAAAAGGTTTAAAAGTCTGAAGAAAACGAATTTTCATAAAACTGTCAATTTATCTGTCAATTACTGTTATTTACTTACCTTTAGTGATTAAAAGCCAATCCGTTGTAGAATTGTCCCGATTTCAAGCGTAACTGTGGTAGCAGACGATTTTACCATCAATACGGAAGTACGCTATTGCAGCTGCGCAGAATTACCGGACGCACGGAATTAAAGGACTCGCTTGTAGATTTTGTGTATAATCAATTTCTGGTATGCCCCTCCGTGATATTGCTGGAATATTGTTAAAAGCATGGTAAAACCTTGCTCACTTTCAACTTTTCTTGTTTACAGCAATGGTGACCCGCTCGCCTACACGCTCAAGTCTTTTGTGTCTCTCATGGATCATGCTATTGTATCCTGGGATGTTTTGGAATCGGATTTCATTCGAAAGGTAAAAATATTGATGTTGAGTTTACCTGTCATTATACTCTCCCACATCATAGGATCAGTGAACATCTTGGTTAGATTTGGCCTTCAGCAACTTATGCTTGTTGTAAAAGGCGACTAACATGATCGGGTGGTCAGGCTCGCTGACTTGGTTGACACATGTCATTGTATCCCGATTGATGCTCATGCTGTTGATCACTGGATTGTCTGGGCAGACTCGATTATTTTTATGGACTGCTGTCATATAGCTGGGGCGTTAAACAAAAAGCAAAGCAGCCTACCAACGACTTCTTTGCGATTGTACGTTTATAATTTTGTTTATATGTTTTTTCATAACCAGCAATGTATATTATATGTCATGAATAAAAAAACAAACAAAAAAGAAGAAAAAACAACAAAAAACAAACCAAAAAATAAAAAATTGAATATAAAAAACAAAAAAAACCAAAACAAACTTCTTTAGTACAATAGATGCTATGTTTTGGTGTAGACCCTAACACTGTTACCAAGCAAATGATATATCCATCTATTGTAATAAAGAAGCTATGTATCCATAAAATGTGTTCCTCTTCGGCTATGTGCACCCAGGTGAAAACTTGGTCCCTGAAGAACCTGTGGCCTTATGCAACAGACAAAACAAGATTTGATATGATATGTTACCCATCTTGATACGTTCGTACCATATGTCAGCAGATCAGGAAATCCAATAGCTTTCAATGTTATTTCAGTGTCAGGTCTCAATTTATGAACTTTCACCAGTAGGGTTGGGTATTGCCAAAATTTTCATATTGCGATATATTGTGATAAGTGTTGGCATATTGCAATATGGGAACTCGAGAAAAAGCGTCTGCAGCGATGTCAGCCATTTTGGTTTGATTATCCTTATGAGTGCTGGTACCAATTTTTTAATATTTTTTTTTATGGTTTAAAATTCAGGCAAATGCAGTTATATGACCAATAAACATTCTCAAAAATATTAATGTATAATAATATAAGGGAAATTCAAATGTTATTAGTAGTTTTGACTACATCATGAAAATTACCGATCGTATCGGGTGAACTGGTTCGCAAAAAGTGTGCGACAATTTATCGTATTGTGAAGTTCGAATTGCAATATACCGGTTAACTAGTATTATCGCCCACCCCTATTCACCAGAGCAATCCATTCTTGAAGAATGCAACATGATATTTATGTCCACATGCAACAAATGCATGAGAAAATTCCAAATTTGTGTCTGACCTATCCTTACCTTACATCAGTCTTTGAACAGACTCAGTACCTCACTGAACAGTATTACCCGTGGAGGTCGGGTTAGAATTGATCTTCAGTAATCCATGCTTGTCGTAAGAGGCGACTAATGGGATCGGGTGGTCAGGCTCGCTGACTTGGTTGACACATGTCATCGGTTCCCAATTGTGCAGATCCATGCTCATGCTGTTGATCACTGGATTGTCTGGTCCAGATTTGATTATTTACATACTGCCGCCATATAGCTGGAATATTGCTGAGTGTGGCGTAAAACTAAACTCACTCACACTGAACAGTATTTGCCATACTTCATCATAATCCCTGTCCCAAATAATTTGTCATCCTTGCTTTGCTTTGATGTCAAACAGTGGGTACTTTAAGATCATATGTACAAGTTATTTTTACATTTTCCAGCAATGCATCATTAATGTATTTGACCAGACCCTGGCAGCAGTCTAGACAATTTTAGTTTATGGTACCGTAAGTGGTTTTGTCTGGTGCAACAAGATTTTCATTTCAACATGCATTTGGTGCAAGCATAAATCTTAAATCAATCCCTGAGTGTACATTGTCGAGCAGAATTAGTTTTCTTATTTGCATTTTATTTTTTAACTGATATCATAATAAATTCATATGTGTGTAGCTAAAATTAATATCTACTCATACTTTTGATGAATTTGATATGATTGAGGTTGTCATTATTTTCATAATGTCATGAACTTACATGAAATGGGTTTGAGTCAATGCTGCATGGCATTTAACAATGGTTAAGAAGGAATTGCTCTCACAGGTGTTGTAGATTTCGATTCTGATTTGCAGTTCCATACTTGTTTTGTGCAGATAATGCAGAGGGCATGTTAAATAATGGTGTTCCGATGATTGAAAATAATCGAAAATCATTCGAAAGAAGGATTGAAAATAATTATCGATTGTTAAAAACATTTTCTCGATTAATCGAAATTTTGTTGTTTTAGTATAACACACTTGAATAAACTAACCATTAAATTTGATGAATATTCACCAACAAACGTAAAGCTATGCGCATTGTATTCATAGTTTCGTATTCCTCACTACAGTACATATTACTGTAATTTGTTTATGAATAAATTTTACATCTATTGTAAACGAAATGAGATATACTGATAAATATCTGTTGTATAAATAAACAGAATAATTTGTATGTAGAAAGTAAAATTACTGCACTTTAAGAGTTAGTATTAGTTATAAAAAACATCAATTAGAAAATACCTGCAGAAAAAACTTAGATTTGTTGATTACATTAAATGTATATATTTCGATTATAATTGATAATCGTTCACCACAAGTCCTCCGTTAATCGATAGTGGATTTGGTTTCCGATTCCCAACACTAATGTTAGGCCATAGTGGCCCAGTTGTCTATGTTGCTGCAATTTGCTGTGCAGAGTGGTGTCCCTTGGGCATGCGAATAACCCATGATCATGAGTTTGAATCCCAAATCCTAAGATTATTATTTTGGATTTGTCAACACCATACCTCTGCTTGGGAATTTTACTAAAGAGTTACATGCCTAAGACCAACATCATTTAAAAATTTTCTGGTGACACGCAATGATATTACTGAACACTATTTAAAACAGCATTAAACCCAACTACCTCACTCACTCAATGGTGAAACGTCATGTGAAAATCTTCCACAAATTTCTGTGTTGTACAATAAACAAATGATTAAGACTACACAAGGTAGAAAGACTCACATTTCATAAAATTTCTACTATCTTGTCAGGCATGCTGGATTTTAACTCCAGAATGGTATTAATGGTAATCTTTGTCAAGCCGTGTCCAAGATTGATTTGATGGGATTTTCAGTAGTGTTGGGAATTGGCTAAAATCTCTTAATTGATTATTGGTTCATTACAACCGATCAGTCATCGAAAATAATTGGTTAGCATCATTTATCAGATTTTCCTGGTTATGTTTGTTTGCACAAAAACAAAAAGAAAAAACATGTAGTTCTTTGGGGGTTTTTAAATTTTTTTGCAAATTGCTCATCTTTAAAGGATGACTAGTATGTTAGGGAACATAAATTTCTTGGGGGTCTTTAAGATAAATTCAATCATGACTTGGACGAGCTTGTAGTGCTCATGAAATGTAACAGACAAAACCAACCGTGTGAAAGACATTGTTAATGCAACAAGTGTTCCAGAATTGTTTGGTCGATTGCTTGGTCGTTTAGTCACTGCGATCAATCTTCAATTATTTCAATTAATCGGACCACCACTAATTTTCAGCGATTATGTAGACCTACTTGGAGGCTGATGTTCAGTCAAAATGCAAAACTGGAAGTAAACATTTCCCAGTTGATAGTCTTTTGGTAATAACTAATGTTATGGCTTTGTAGATGTGAGTTATATTTCTCTAATAACAGTGACAGTGGGGTAACCTACATGCTCGATAATCTCAAGGGTATACATTCGGATAATTCTCCACTAATACCCTGGATGCATCTATGTCTCGGCCCGATAATTTTATTACCTCCCTTTGCTGCTCTTTATCCAATCAGGAGTCTACGCTGGGAAGTTAGGCATACCAATCACAAGGCTTCTATCATAACTCACTTTCACTTAGAAAGAAGGAGGAGTTCTTGGATAATTTTTTTTAAGGTTTCAGACCTGTCGATTTGTGGCCGCGATCTTTGTTGACACTGACAATCTTAGTTGTAACGGCTTATCTGAGTGGCTACTGTGGGAAGGCGGACTTTGCAAAGGGAGGTAATAAAGTTATTGGGCTGAACTGTAGATGCATTCAGGGTCATATGGAGATTTAGCGGAACGTATACCCTGGAGATTATCGAGGATGGGTAGCCTAGTGGTTAAAGCATTTGCCACATGGGTACAATGTGTGAAGCCCATATCTGATGTCCTCACCTTAATATTTTGGAATATTGCCTAAAGCGGCAGAAATTTACTCACTCACTCAAATAACAGGACAAGTATAGAGGAGTAGGCTTTCATGCTTAGTTTATCATTATTGCTACAATGTGATATCAAAACATGATTTAAATACCCCAGAATTTCTGTAAGAAAGAATTCTTTTGAAAAGTTCTAATTTCAAATGAAATATAGTTTGAGATTTTAGGGACTAGGGGGGTGATCAGTGTTTGCCATGATACAGAAAAACTGTGTATTTGACGCACAAATTATCTCAAATATGCAGTGAATTTAGAAGCTTGCGTCATCGTTGACACAATGCTACTGGGCCCTTAGTTCAGATAATCTAAACTTCTAAAACTAAATGTTTGCCAGTTAACTACTTAGTGCTGATAAAATACCTGACCTGCCTTACATTGTTTTTTGTCGTTATTAAACAATCACAGTTGATGGCTTGATAAAAGTTCCAATCTAAAGTTGACTCCAACTAAAAAGGGCTATGACTCCTTCTCATGACACCAGGGAGTCATGATGATGCCTAAATTTTTATGCCTAGGGCAAACACTGGGTGATGATGATTTTAAGAGGGGAGTCACCCATTTTGTTCTGGGGAGGCAGGGGGTGTCATGAATTTTGTACACATGTACTAGGTGGGGGAGGGGAAGCGTTTGTACATACACACTATTAAAAGAATTATGCTTAAAAATTATGGGAAGGGGAGGGGGTCATTGATTTTGTACATGACATGGGGGTCATTGATTTTGTACATGACCTGCAGGGGGGTCATTTTGTACATGACATGCAGGGGGTCATTGATTTTGTACATGACATGCAGGGGGTCATTGATTTTGTACATGACATGCAGGGGGTCATTGATTTTGTACATGACCTGCAGGAGGTCATTGATTTTGTACATGACCTGCAGGGGGTCATTGATTTTGTACATGACCTGCATGGGGTCATTGATTTTGTATGACATGCAGGGGTCATTGACATGCATGACCTGCAGGGAGGGGATCATTCACATTAGTACATGCTTCACCATAAAAATCATCATGACCTCCCTTACCATGAATTATGAACAGTCCCTTAAACAGAGTGTGCATGGATATGTCTCTAACGCAACAATCTGTGTCCAGGTAGCGGAGTGCGTCAACTGTTCCAGCACTGCTACCCTCGACAAACAATGTCTGCAGTCAGCGCTTGAGATCCTGGAGTCTGTCGTCCTTCACAGGTCAGTCTAGTTACCTTGGCAACACGCATGTGTGAAATGTTTTATTTGTTTGTTGTAAATATACATTGTTTTGACATTATCACTAAGGTTTCAGCTTGGCATGATCATGATAAATAGCTGCAAAAACACCATGATTTCAGGTAGTGTATTTTCTTACTCCACTCATTTTCTTTGTTAGTACTCCCACCAACAGCTGAAAGGGTGGTGTAAATCCAGCTAGGGTCCATGCAGGTAGCAAAGGTACTGTAAGTCCCCATGGACCCTAGTATGGTGATCTACCTTCAGTTGTTGGCAATCTATAGCCTGTTTTTATATTGTTTTGTCCAAATAGTGCTATCAGTTTTAACTTTCCACACTAGTTTTAGTTGTAATTGTGATATTCTAGTTGTTTTACTGTCCTTTGTCGACAGGTTTTATAATATACATATCTTCCATTTCAATGTCACGTATGTTCTCATACGATATGGCTGAAAGATTGCCGATGTAACGTTAAATAATAACTCACTCACTCACTTGTTAGTACTCCAAGATGCTTGAGGAAGAAAAATGTCCGTTGTTTAGATGAATGTTTCAACTGAAACAATATGATTTACATGCAATTCCAATTTGAGGGAGGCATAACTTAGACTTTTGTTTGTTTTGCAAAGAGAAATTGACTTGTCCATTTAAAAAAATGACATTGTAATTGGTATGGTCTAAATAACTTTGAAGAAATATTATCTGAATATGATCATCAGATCAGTGATTTTCTTTTGAGTTGTAGTCAATTCTCAAAACTATTAGCTGTAAGTTAAAATGAGTTTTAGAAGCCTCTGTAGCTATAATATTGTCCGGTGCGGTAGCCTAGTGGCTAAGATGGTCGCTTGTCATGCTGAAGACCCAGGTTCGATCCCAACATGAGCTCAATGTGGGAAGCCCATTTCTGGTGTCCCCTGCCATGATATTGCTGGAATATTGCTAAAAGTAGCGTATTACAGAGGTACAGATAAGCTGCGTATCTGCGTAAATTCGCAAATATTTATGTGAAAACTCAATTCCTATAAAGTCTATTGCGTACAAGTATGCTTGAAGTTTTGTTAATACTCCATAAATGTGATCTTATAAGCGTACACACAAAAATGTCAAATCTTAGCTTGCGTACCGGTGGATAGATAAAATAACTGAAAGGTTCTATTGCAGGACATGAACCTGGCAACTTGCAGTCTTTCTTATCGTTTCTCATATTACAGATCAAATATGAATAATAAACACTAACATTTAAACTTGATTATGTTTTTAAAATTAATGGAAAATGGCAAAATACCCAATTGAGTTTGAGTGAGGTGGGTACAATTTGTTTGGTTACTCAAAGGAAAATAAGAATACCCAATTGAGATGAACAGAAGCGAGTACTTAACTCTATGACCCAACACATTATCTCTAGCTCTGTTCCTGAAGAGGATTGATATCACTGACTTCCTGCCATCATGGTCATGTGATCATGTTACTTTATTGTTAGTCATAATGATATAACCAGTGTCTTCTTGTCATCTATTTCAGCACGGGTAAGCAGGCTGTGGTTGAGCAGGTGGTTACCCCTGTCAACATAATTCCTCACCTGCAGAGGTCAGTAGCTTAATGCCATGACTTTGCATGTATTATATTTATTGGGCGGTGGGGTAGCCTAATGGTTAAAGCGTTGGCTCGTCACGCCAAGAACCCGGGTTCGAATCCCCACATGGGCACATTGTGTGAAGCCCATTTCTGGTGTCCCCCGCCGTGATGTTGCTGGAATATTGCTAAAATCGGCGTAAAACCAAACTCAGTCAGTCAGTCAGTCAGTCATCTACATGTAAGTGCAATTGGATTAAACAAATTCAGACTGTAAAATTATCTCTTTGAATTATCTTTAGAAGTGAAAACACTTTGTTATCTTATCACTTTTGTTGTTTCACATGTACATGTCTGCTTCCTGGCTTTAATTTGTAGTAATTTGCATCAAGAATTTCTTCATCATGTTTTACTTTTTTGTGAAAATATTGTAAAGGAAGTATTGTCAATATTAACATTACGCCCAACCAACAAGTCTAAGTAAAGTTCAAGAGATATTTCATATGTTGCTTCAGGTTGGGGAGATAAATTTCATGTGCTTATATGTTTTAGTCGATACACTAGTCAAGAGAGTGTTATGAGTGGGCGACCACAAGAACGACGGGGATCAACGGCAGTGACTACTCAGACCTTTTCCAGCCAAGCTAACCCGGAGATTCAAAAGAATGCCATAGCTTTAATCAATGCACTTTTCATGAGAGCTGATGCCGAGAAACGGAGGGTAAGGGATAAACAAGTGATCCTAAAAGGGGCCAGCATATTACATACTATAATCTCTACAAACATCCTCTGTGAATCATCAAACTGATACAAGCATAAAAGAATAGGAAAATTGTTTGTTTCCTTTGCTCAAATTATTAGCATTACACAATTTTATCTGGACATTTTAGAGTATATGTAATGTCCGTTGGGTACTTTATGTGCTGGCCTGAGAATGTGGTTAATTCCGGAATGGGACTCAACCCCCCAAAGTACTAAAACAGTACTTTACTGAGAAAGTGTCATCCCAAATATATCATATGTTACAGGGGCGGTGGGGTAGCCTAGTGGTTAAAGCGTTCGCTCGTCACGCTGAAGACCCGGGTTCGATTCCCCACATGGGCACAATGTGTGAAGCCCATTTGTGGTGTCCCCCGCCATGATATTGCTGGAATATTGCTAAAAGTGGCGTAAAACCATACTCACTCACTCACTCACTCATATGTTACATTTGATGACTTACTAAATGGCATTGTGCATTCATACTCAGTGTAGGGTGGTGGCGTAGCCTAATGGTTAAAGCGTTGGCTCTTCACGCTGAAGACCCGGGTTCGAATCCCCACATGGGCACAATGTGTCATTGTATGAAGCCCATTTTATGGTGTGCCCCGCTGTGATGTTGCTGGAATATTGCTAAAAGCGGCGTAAAAACCAAACTCAGTCAGTCAGTCAGTCATACTCTGTGTACTAGAGCATCAATGCAAATATGTGGAGGCAGACACTTAGCGTGTTCGTAAGTACATGGTGTTTGATATTGTTATCTAATAAATGTTCCCTATATCCTTTTCAGAAAATAGCAGATCAATTACATTCCAAGAGCATGAGAAACATCATCCTGAGTGTAGGTATCTTACTGAGCTTCTCGCTGTCATTTATGTGGTCTCAGTCAAAGGGAGAAAAATAATGTTCCCTAATCAAAACCTGGTTTTGAAATAATTGTGAAAACGGTTGGGATTTTATTATAGTTCTATTCAGATCTAGATGTACGGACCTTTACTATAAATCTATCCATTGATATTGTCCTTTTATGTCAGAAATTCAAGACAGCTGATGTGGAAACTTGGTTGTTCTGATTTACAAACTCTGTTGTCATTAGTAACTTATGCATGGCGTAAAACTCGTAAAAAAGGGGATTAAGTGGTCATTGTATCTATATGCATGGATGAATGCGGATGATGTCAATCACTGGATAGTCTGGTCAAGGCTATTATTTCCAAGGATGCCATAGATCATGTTTTCATGTTCTTGTTTCTTGTACACGTGAAGGTCCGGGTTAGAATATTGGCCTTCAGTAACCCATGCTTGTCGTAAGAGGCGACTAACGGAACGGGTGGTCAGGCTTGCTGACTTGGTTGACACATGTCATCGGTTCCAAATTGCACAGATCGATGCTCATGCTGTTGATCACTGGATTGTCTGGTCAAGACTCGATTATTTACAGACTGCCGCCATATATCTGGAATATTGCTGAGTGTGGCGTAAAACTAAACTCACTCTTCATTGTCTCTTATGCGACTGATACAATGCTGCATGTCTCACCTGTTGAACCCATGTGATCTAACCATAACCTTAATTAAACTTTTGAAAGACTTTGTGTTACTTGCAGCATGTGATACGCGGAACTCAACAGGTGGGGAATGAGATGGCCCATCAACTGTACGTCCTGCAAGTCCTGTTGCTCAATCTCCATGAAGATCGCAAGAAGACCCCTGCCAATGCACATGACCAGGTGAGACAACTTCCTGTTCTGAGCATGTGCAGTGAAATGATATCGTGTGATACATTTCATTAAGGTTTGCAACAAACTGCCAGCCTAAACCCCTATGTACATGCCTTGGGGACCTTAGATTTGTTACTTAGAATCCCTCGGAGTCAAACATAGAGACCCAGGTCAATCCCTGTTTGATTCTACCAATGAAGATCCAGGTTAGAATTGGTCTTCAGCAACCATGCTTGTCTTATGACGCCACTAATGGGATCGGGTGGTCAGGCTCGCTGACTTGGTTGACTCATGCTGATGATCACTGGATTGTCTGGTCAAAACTTGATTATTTACAGACCATAGTCATATAGCTGGAATATTGCTGAGTGCAGTTTTAAACAACAAGCAAACAGACAATCCCTGTTTGAGTACAGGTAAACCTGCCAGATCATGTAGTAAATGAAGCTTAGAATATATGAAGACACAGGTTGTTTGAGCATTTGTTGAAGACTTGACATCCTGTTAGGAAAAGATTGACTCAAAAAGGAATTGATGAATGGTGTGTAGCAGATAGATAGCAATATTACCATCTTTAAGTTCTGGTCATATGTTGCAGTGACTGGTGTTATCATATTCTCCTAGCACCCCCCAACCCCCCTTCCCTCCCCAAATTTTAAGTGAATCTTTAGGTGCCCACTTAGTCAGTTACCAGTCCCGTAGCATGGTTAAGTTCAGTGTGCGAAATAGTTTCTAAATTTTGCTAGCCAGTCGGGATAGTTATGCTTACAGAATGTAGAAACTAAGCCAAAGATTACAAAAAGAAAACACATGTCTGAATTCATGAAAATTCATTTGTCAGTCAGGCCAGTGACTGTGGAGATTTACCAGCCCGACTGGAGTTTTACTAGCCACGGGCTAGCGGGCCAGTGGCTATTTCGCACGCTGGTTGAGTTCCACATAACCATTGGATATCTGTCAAACGTTTAGTTCAGTATGTATGTTTAGTTTACACCATTTCAAAATCAGCATATGCCTATTTTGATTTCAGTCAAGTTTCATGAAAATGGAGTTCCAAAATGTCGTGCATGGAAATTATTTATAGTTGATAGACTTTCCAATGTTATGAAGTATAGTTTAATAAATAGTGTTCAGGTCCCTCTGAAACACCCACATGTTTGTACACTTCATGTTTGTACACATCACGTTCAAGAATGTCTTTTTAATGAGTCATCTGCCTCTTAAACTGAGGCATGATATTTCAGTGAGTTAGCACTATAAAGCTGGCCACACCCACACCCACACACACTCACATGTGTGCATGCTTATCTCTATGTAAGTGTTGCGAATGTTGAATGTAACGTTAGACCCCATTTCATCTTATGGACCGTTCATAATTTATGGCTCGGGGGTGGGGGGTTGATGACTTTAAGGGGGGTCACCCATTTTGTTCTGGAGAGGTAGGGGGGTCACCAATTTTGTACACAAAAATAATAAAAAAATATTATAAATTACGGGAAGGGGGAGGGGGTCATTGATTTTGTACATGACATGCAAGGGGGATCACATATTTTGTACATACATTTTAGGGTGGCCATTCACATTGTACATGCTTTTCCATGAAAGTCATCATCACCCACCAACCCTCCACCCCCCACCCCCTCCTAGCCGTAAGTTATGAACGGCCCCTTACCTTGCTGACATAATCTTGTTTTGCCTCTGTTATAATACAACTGGTACCATGTCATGTGTTCACAGACTGTGTTGCGGGATATTGAAGAATTGCGGAGAATCGCATTTGATGTGGACGGTGATCCCAACATCAACACAGTCAGGAAATCACCAAGCTCAGCCAAGGACTACAGGAAGCTGGGATTCTATGTAAGGATACTAATATCAACCATAATCATAATGAGTATAAATATTGACATTTGTTCCGAACGTTTGCTTTCATATTAATTGATAATTAAATATAAAAAATACTTCTTTGGCTTTGAGAATGTGGGAAAAGTTTAAAAGCCTGTTACTCTGCTTGTCCTCAGATACCTTCTACATTAGACAAACTGAATCCCTGAAAACGTAACTTTTGTTATTTTTGACAGAATCAGAGCACACCTGTGGAAGATTTCACCAAGACACCTCCTGGGCTTCTCGCACTGGATGTGATGCTGTACTTTGCCCGGAACCATGGAGAAAATTATGTCAAGGTGACCCATATGTCTCCGTTATTGACCCCAATTTAATAAACAGTTTGGGGGGGTGGGATAGCCAAGTGGATAAAGCATTTATTTTTCCTTCTCCTGACTTATGCTTTATTGCTTATCTCCCATGTCCTTTTGACACTTGGAAACTTGAATACCTTTCAGTTCCCTGAAGCGAATGTACAATCACTCACCGTCGAGTTGCCTCCCTTTTCCTGCCACAGGGTACCCACATGACTCAAGCCAAACTCTCATCACTCTGTCACTTCAGGGTCCCTTTTATGGCTTTATATTCTCTTATATTTAGTCCTTTAAACCAAATTATGCCGTGAATGGTTTATTTAGGCTGTATATTATATTAACGATGAAACAATCTGCGTAAATTATGTCTAATTTTTTAACTTTTTCACTTCGACGCTACATTGGAACCAGTCTTGCTATAAATAGAGTAGGCATCGATGTCATGCTCTGATCGAACACAGATTGTTTGGGAACATAAGGGGAAGAATGGTGCATCATCGCTGCATATTGCCATCCTCGACAAGGCTATTGTCATCACTGATGCCTATCTCCAAGGATGGGAAGCGCACAAGAAGAAAGAAATGGAGGGTGCTCCCCTTTGGAATTTCCTTGGCCCTGTGACTATTTACATGTGTAACCAAGCCATGGTGACATATCGATCTACATTTACGAGGGATATGCAGCCTTCTACCTAGATGATACAGGCTCATCAAGTTGCAGATCTACTCAGACAACGGTTGAACTTCACGATTCAGCTGCTAACACAGTTAGGCTGGTTTGTAAACCTCATAAAGTCGGAATTAGAATCCTCTTGCAGGACCTCAAATTTCTGGGAATCAGATTCCTCATAGCGGGAAACTGTATAACAGTCTCAGAAGACCAATAGCAGAAAATTCAAGCCTGTCTTCCACTCGCTCTCAAGTCCATCTCTACCAATCAAATCTTGGCAGTAATTGCTAGGACTGATGACTTCTGCTCAAGCTCTTACGAGCGGAGGCAGATTGCAACTCCGACCCTTCCAGAGGTTCCTCAAATCTTATCTAACAGTCAGCAGAGATGCCAACTCATACCATTTTATCGTATTGGTTATGAAAAAACAACACAAAATACGCGACTACGATAACAGTAAAAATATACAAATTTTTTTAAAAACCCATTGAAATAATTATCAATAGCATATGTACAATACACAATAAATTTCAACCACATTTTATTCAGTATCAAGCAATATGTGGATACTTACTACTGATTTAGGTGAGTACAATGTTAATAACAAATTCTTAGAATATCTATATATTCTGTATTAAATATGAAAATTCTTTGGACAGGTTAATACTAATTTTTGCATCAGTTTTTGGCCAAAATACTAAATGGGCTAAATCAGGGTTGGCATCTCTGAGTCAGGATCTCAAGATCCCTATACCATGTCCCCTCAAAGAAACATCTGTTTTGGTGGACAAACAGACTGAAGTCTGCGGAGGAACTTATTTCCAAGAGCCGGCATACGATCTACATCTATACGTAGAAGCCTCACTACAAGGATGGGGAGCACATCTAGACAAAGAAGTCGCAGCAGGGACATGGGCCGCAGAGGAGTACCCGGTAATCACTACACATAAATCGGGGCGGTGGGGTAGCCTAGTGGTTAAAGCGTTGGCTTGTCACGCCGAAGACCCGGGTTCGATTCCCCACATGGGCACAATGTGTTAAGCCCATTTCTGGTGTCCCCCACCGTGATATTGCTGGAATATTGCTAAAAGCGGCATAAAACTAAACTCAGTCAGTCAGTCACTACACATAAATCAACTAGAGTTCATGGCAGTAGAACATTGGGCTCAGTATCTAAGGAACAAGTTCCTCATGATCGGACGGACAACGCAACAGTGGCAATTTATATAATTCTCCAAGGCACCACAAGATCAGCACCTCTTCTAGATCTGACTTTTCGCCTGTACAAACTCGTAGACTGTCAACTTGTGAATCAAGACCAGACACATTCCCGGCTCAGTCAACATACTAGCCGATGCATTGGCCAGACCAGTCCAACCATCTCCCACAGAGTGGGATGGTAAATCACCCTAACTCGGTGTGCCTAGTGGCTGCAAGAGTTGTATGATTCCCAGGGAGTTGAGATTGATAATATGATGTGCCGTTGAGATTGACATCCAATGATTGAGGGGAAAAAAAATACCAGCGCCTTGAGCATGTACTAGTTGCGTGGATGTGTGTGCTGTATAAATATCCTATAATAAATAAAGTGGATGTTACATCCGGAAGCACTCCAACTGTTAACACTAACAAGAGATCAAGGTCATCCTCTCATAGATCTGTTTGTGATATCATCAAATTGCAACGTTCGTCTCAGAAGTACCAGATCCACAAGCTTAGGCATTCAACGGTCTAGCCATATCATGGGAAGGACTAAATACTTATGCATTTCCACCATCGATACTACTACCTCTGGTACTACACAAGATCGCCCAGACCAGAGTCCTGCAACTGATTTGGTCATGCCCTACTGGCCAGCGAGAACTTGGTTTCCAGACCTCGTACAACTCGCATAGTGCTGCAACATCTCACCAGTAACGACCATGAACCATTGAGAGACACAACTTTTGAGCTGTTAACTCGGAAGACATTATTCCTCCTCGCTACAGCTACAGCAGCTAGGATGTCAGAAATATATGCGCTTGACTTTGGACAAACTAGATTTGACACCAGAGAACATGCTGCAGTCTCCCTCGGACTAAGATGGGACTTTATGGCTAACCTCTACTTCCTGGTCAACCAGATCGTCAATTTCACGTACCAGCATTGTCATCAGTCCTCAGACAAGAAGATACAGAGGGCTTGTCCATATGCCCAGTCAGAGCTTTAAAAACGGACTGTTACAAGAAGGAGGAAATTTAAGCGTCTCTTTGTTCCACTATCACCCGCCACAACTATTGAAGTCTGCCGAACAACCATCTCTTTTTGGATCAGAGCTGTCATCTTACGAGCCTACAAAGCAGCAGGGTTAGATCCGCCTAGAGCCTCCAACCCACATGAAGTTGGAGAGCTAGCCTCGACACTCGCCCTGCATGGGAATTGCTCTTTATCGACTATGATGGAAGGCTACTTTTGTAACTCGGACACAGTGTTCGCCAATCACTATCTTCGGAAGATGTATCTATTATCCATCAGTTCGGGCTCCTTGTAGTAGCACAACAACTCTTGATACCAGCTAGATGATGATAACCTCACCCTTGTCACGCAGACTCGTTGACGCCAGGCAACTGTCCCATTGTCACCAGCAGAGAGTCTAGTCTGCGCATGAGTGATTTAGGCTCAGTTTGGGTAACAGTCCTTACCTTAACATGTTGAGTCACGATTCCAGTTTCGGTAACAGTCCTTACCTTAACATGTTGAGTCACGATTCCAGTTTCGGTAACAGTCCTTACCTTAACATGTTGAGTCACGATTCCAGTTTCGGTAACAGTCCTTACCTTAACATGTTGAGTCACGATTCCAGTTTTGGTAATAGTCCTTACCTTAACATATGGGTCGTTCAAGATAACTAGACATCGAGGCGTACTGGTTTATCTTAAATCCACAAAATTTATGTGATTTACTTCTTTTACGGACATAAGAGAAGGTGGTCCCCCTATGATCATCAGGAAAGACTGACGCAGTTCAAGCTGCAAAAAGAGTTCGCAGGGGTATATGATCGAACATTGATGTGATCAGAACAATCGCAGTGAATCCCGAAGGTGGCTGACCCATCACCTATTCCGGCGTATTCCATAAGCAATGTAGCATGAGTCAGGATAAGGAAAAATGTGTAATTTTTCGGATAAAATGGATATTTTATACTTATCCTGAATTAAAGCTCTCCCAATCGTCCCCACTCTCAGAACTACGGGCTTCCTGCAAGCCTTAGTGTGGGCGAAATTTGGTGAGAGTGATGAGAGCATGGCTTGAGTCACGGCATAATTTGGTTTAAAGGCCTAAATACAAAAGTATATAAAGCCACAATCCGTCTGCTTGGGCGATGAAGGTGAGAGTGATGAGAGCATGGCTTGAGTCACGTAGGTACACTGTGGCAGGAAAAGGGAGGCAATTCAATGGTGAGTGATTGTATGTTTGCTTCAGGGAACTGAAAGGGATTCAAGTTTCCATTTAAGTATTGAAAGGAGAAAGGAGATAACCCATATAGCATGAGTCAGGATAAGTATAAAATATCAATTTTATCATAAAGATTACATGACTGTCATGCCAAACTCCCCGTGTCACCACTAGGATGTTGCTGGAATATTGCTAAAAGTGCCCTAAATACCCAACTCACTCACTCACTAAACAATTATGCACGGATTCGCTCGCAATAACCCGTGAAGATCCAGGTGAGAATTGATCTTCAGTAACCCATGCTTGTTATTAGAGGCGACTAACGGGATTGTAGAATTGATCTTCAGTAACCCATGCTTGTTGTAAGAGGCGACTAACGGGATCATAGAATTGATCTTCAGTAACCCATGCTTGTTGTAAGAGGCGACTAACGGGATCGTAGAATTGATCTTCAGTAAGCCATGCTTGTTGTAAGAGGCGACTAACGGGATCATAGAATTGATCTTCAGTAACCCAAGCTTGTTGTAAGAGGCGACTAACGGGATCGTAGAATTGATCTTGAGTAACCCATGCTTGTAAGAGGCGACTAACGGGATCGTAGAATTGATCTTCAGTAACCCATGCTTGTTGTAAGAGGCGACTAACGGGATCATAGAATTGATCTTCAGTAACCCATGCTTGTAAGAGGCGACTAACGGGATCGTAGAATTGATCTTCAGTAACCCATGCTTGTTGTAAGAGGCGATTAAAGGGGTCATAGAATTGATCTTCAGTAACCCATGCTTGTTGTAAGAGGCGACTAACGGGATCATAGAATTAATCTTCAGTAACCCATGCTTGTTGTAAGAGGCGACTAACGGGATCATAGAATTGATCTTCAGTAACCCATGCTTGTCGTAAGAGGCGACTAACGGGATCATAGAATTAATCTTCAGTAACCCATGCTTGTTGTAAGAGGCGACTAACGGGATACCAGGTCAGGCTCGCTGACTTGGTTGACACGTGTCATTATATCCCAATTGCTTATGCTGTTGATTACTGGATTGTCTGGTCCAGACTTGATTATTTACAGACCGCCACCATATAGCTGGAATATTACCGAGTGTGGCATAATACTAAACTCACTCACTCACTCGTTAGTAATATATGACATGTGATGAACTCCCCTTACCACTGCAATACTATTGGGGGTGCAACTTTTGTTAGTTTTTCATATGTTCTCTGAGAATATTTTAATATTGATGCTGACAGCTGTTCAGTAGCTCTCTTTGTTGACAACTTACATTGCTGTGATGCGGTGAGCTACTGTCCCATGACATTATTTATAGCTCATTTATAGGTTTTTACAAAGTGCTTATTTCTTTTAAAGAAAACAGGGTCTTGGTACTGTGAGTAAGCAGTTGATGATGAAACAATTACCCAAAGACCAAACTTGAACTTTACTTGAAGATATGAATATTTGATGATAAACTGCCTGTTTAGAGTTACCTCCCTTTGACTATCTTCTTTTTAAATCCTAGGTGGTGCTGGAGAACTCAAGTCGTGCAGATGAGCATGACTGTCCATTTGTAAGAGCCAGCATCATGCTCACAGAAATACTGTGTGATATTCTCAAAATTGGTGAACAGCGTAAGTGTTATGTTATATTATTTCCATAACTGGTGCTAATTCTGTTCAATAGTTTTAGTAATACCTAATTGAATTTACTTCTAAATTACCAAGAATGCTAAATTGGTGGGATTTTGAATTTTGGCTGGGGTAAAACATATCCTACCAGAAATATTATGATCATGTTCTGAAATTAGAGCGTCCGCCAGGAGAACAGAAGGTTGTGGGTTTGATCCCCAGACGTATCATACCAAAAGACGCCAGGGCTCGATTTAGTGATTTGTTACTAGTACTGGTGCAGCCCAATATCACTAAGTGCAATCTAGTTATTAGTCTATCTTGCACCAGGTGCAACTCATTTTTGAGTGGGTAAACTCTGAATAAAACTTCTAAACAATTCAATAGCATATTTCTTACAGTACATATTGCAATAAAAGCAGTGCAACTGTAATTTGGCTGGTGCAACTAGGTTTTTATCTTAGGTTGCACCTGGTGCAAGTAGGTTAACATATCTTAAATCGAGCCCTGGACGTTAAAATATGGTACTTGTTGGTCCCTACCTGGCCTTCGGCATTAATGATTAAAACAAGAACTGGTCGGCTCAGAGTCAGTATATTGTGTCTTAACTGCGGCATGGTATCTCAGTGAGCTAGCACTATAAAACCAGCTTCAGTCTGGGCTAGTACAAGCAGCCACACATACACACACATGCATGTCATCATATGAGCGAAATATTCTGAAGTGCGAAGATAAACCCAATTTCACTTCACCTCATGTTCTGAATTTTTTTTCTGAACTTTGACAAAAAAATATGAAGGTAGATGTACACTGTTATATGCAGAAAGACTTCAATGAAATTGAAAATACTATTATTCAAACACAAAATATTTTATCAATATATTTTTACCCTCCAGCGACAGAAGAAGGTCAGACATTTTACCCCATGTTTTTCTGCCACGACAAGCCGTTTGAGGAGTTCTACTGTGTGTGTATACAACTGCTGAATAAAACATGGCGAGAAATGAAAGCCACGTCGGACGACTTCCAGAAGGTATGGACGTCATTACTCAAGACTTGACCCTAACCTGTGAAGGTCCGGGTTAGAATGTGCCTTCAGTAACCCATGCTTGTCGTAAGAAGCGACTAACGGGATCGGGTGGTCAGGCTTGCTGACTTGGTTGACACGTCATCAGTTCCCAATTGAGCAGATCGATGCTCATGCTGTTGATCACTGGATTGTCTGGTCCAGAGTCGATTATTTACAGACTGCCGCCATATAACTGGAATATTGTTCAGTGCGGCCCAAGACTTGACTCACTCACCCAACATTCTTTACTTTAGCCTGAGTGAGGATTTCAGTTAGAGTAGGCCTCCTGGTACTATGTAAGAGTAAGCGGAGTGTGGGCTGATTTTGTGTCATCATTTGTCCCGGATTGCATGGATTTTGTTCAAGTGTGAGATAGGACAAGTATGCTCGAATATGCAGTTTATTGTAAAATTTACGGTATCATTGATTGGTATTTCTAAGATAAGCTTTTTACACTGTATTACATGTTGTAAGAGGCATTTAACTTGGATTTGGTTGTACTTTTTGTCTACTCTTTTTATTGCATTTCATTGTAACCCAATGCCATATACCAGTGGTCGTAGTGTCAGTTGAATAATGGGATAACCAAGTGGTAAAAGCGTTTGCTCTTGTCACGCTGAAGACCAGGGTTCGATTCCCAACATGGGTACAATGTGTAAAGCCCATTTCTGGTGTCCTCTGCCGTGATATTGCTGGAATATTGAAAAAGCGGCATAAAACCAAACTCACTCACTCACTCACTGGTAGTGTCAGTCACTGGTTTGTGTGGTCCAGACTCAAACATGTTCAAGCCACGATATTTCAGGATGACTGCTGACTGTGGCAAAAACAGCAAACTTGTAATGAAAATGATCTACCTTTCTCCCACAGGTGCTTGGTGTTGTTAAAGAGCAGATAACGCGAGCTTTGGAGATCCACCCATCTAATTTTGATTCACTTCGAACCCGCCTCAATCAGCTGACTTACTCGGAGATCATCAAGATCTGGGAGCTGGAGAGGCAGAGTAAGGAGGAGTGGGAGTCCCAGGCCAAACCCATCCTGTGAGTTGAACATGTAGACAACGTTGTCAGAACCCATCCTGTGAGTTGAACATGTAAACCTCTTTGTCAGAACCCATCCTGTGAGTTGAACATGTAAACCTCGTTGTCAGAACCCATCCTGTGAGTTGAACGTGTAGACCTGTTTGTCAGAACCCATCCTGTGAGTTGATCGTGTAAACCTCGTTGTCAGAACCCATCCTGTGAGTTGAACGTGTAAACCTCATGTGTCAGAACCCATCCTGTGAGTTTATCGTGTAGACCTCTGTATGTCAGAACCCATCCTGTGAGTTGAACATGTAGACCTCTGTATGTCTGAACCCATCCTGTGAGTTGAACATGTAGACCTCGTTGTCAGAACCCATCCTGTGAGTTGAATGTGTAGACCTTGTTGTCAAGAACCCATCCTGTAAACCTCATGTGTCAGAACCCATCCTGTGAGTTGAGCGTGTAGACCTCTGTATGTCAGAACCCATCCTGTGAGTTGAACATGTAACCCACCTGAACATGTAAGCCCTCATCCTGTGAGTTGTTGTCAGAACCCATCCTGTGAGTTGAACATGTAAACCTCGTTGTCAGAACCCATCCTGTGAGTTGAACATGAAGACCTCTGTATGTCAGAACCCATCCTGTGAGTTGAACGTGTAGACCTCGTCAATATGTCTGCAGACTTCCCACATTTTCAAAAGAATATTTACTTTGAGCATTACTTGAGCAAGTCAGTGTACTAAATTTCATCCAAATAAAGTTGAGTTGCCGCACTAGTGCAAGGTGTAATTCAAACAAAAATTACACTTTAGTAATTACTATTTCAATCATGAGTTGTGACTTGTATCTTGAACAAAAAAAATAATCAGTATTAATCGTTGCAATATCCTGAGATGCCTATGGTCAAAGTCAAATATTCTGATTGCTTTCTTTGTAAACTTGTTAAAAATCATAAAACATATTGACTCTTGTTCAGAAAGGTGTTGGCCCTTCTCTGAAATTTGTATAAATCTGGTTGCATCCCTGAGAATTGAAAGAGGATATTTATGTGGGTTTCTAAATCAAGAAATCATATTTCTATAATAAAGTTGTCCTTTTCAGAGAGTTGAGGGAGATTATCAAGCCTGAGATTATGGACTTGATTAAGCAGCAACGGTACAACCACATGGTAGATGGGGCCATTTTTACCAAGTACGCCAAGAGCAACCAGAAGAAAGGTGGGACAGATTAACATTTACTTATTTGTCCAGTCTAAGTAAACTTATTATTCGTTACACTGCTATACTGAGGCTAACAAACCCTAGTAGAAGGTCGTGTCAGCTAACTTTGAGCGACCTATGACTGTCCAATCAAACGCGAGACTGCCGAACAGAGTTAACCAATCAGACAACGGCTACTTTTTAGGGTTCGACGGGACTTACAAAATGGTTTTTGAATTATTTTTCCCTGGTCGGTGACACTGATCTCTCAACAAACGAAAATCCGCATAAAACATAAATATTTGACCTGCAGTAGATTCGCTTATGGGTTTCTGATGACATGGTAACATGGTTATATGGACATTAGCTTATGTTTCCGCAAGATGACATCCTGGAATATTGACAAAAACGCTATTTTCAGTGACTGTTTTACTCATTGTTTTGAATAATGGCGTCTTCCATGTGTATCACTCGGAAGCGATCATGCAGAAAATAGCATTCGGAATCATTCGTGTTTTCGAGGTAAAGGTTCAAATGGTATGTGCAAATGTTAACTTTCACGATTTGGTCAATCCAAAAGGTTAGCTGACGCGACCTTCTACTAGGTTTTGTTAGACTCAGTATAGCAGTGTAACGAATAATACTGAGCCTAAGTTTACTTAGACTGCTGATTAGTCATGTCTGAGGAATCAAACATTATTTCTTTTTAAATTTTTAACCCTGGTGATTGTCTTTTCCCTCCAATTATTCTGATCTGCTCCGAGTGTTAATTTTGGTGCTTGGTCTGCAGCGTATGTTATTAAAAGTACCCAACTTGGAACCAAAAATTCCCAATTCATTAAAATACCCAAAACATATTTATGGCACTGTAGAGGTATTTCACTAATAACACGACCTATTTAGATGAAGAAGTTTCAAGACTTTGTTTCTATTATTATATTGAATGCAATTCCAGAATGCAGTGTTAAAATGCCTCTGAATTTAAGACCATGAGAATAAATGATTTATTCCCAGAAAAATATAACACATGATAAGAAAACATGTTGTTTAGTGCAATGTGTTTCTCCCTGTTTCAGATCGGTTCTGGTACTGGCGTTTAGCGCCAAACCATAAAGCGCTTCATTATGGGGACTGCCAAGACAATGCTGTTCTGCCCATAGAGCAACTGCCCAACAAAAGTAAGTTTTGACAAAAGTAGATGTCAGGATACAGCTTACCAAACAATATATTTTACTCAGATTTTTTACAAAGGAACGATCCTATAAAAGGTAACAGCTCATATTCAAACATAGAATCCGTAAAAGACTACCAACTTTCCTGTTCCCACAGTAAGAATTGTATCAATATCCTTCACTTCAAGATGTGGGAATGTTGAGTTTAAGGTTGGCTATTTTTTACAATTTTTGGTCTTCCTAACATCGATTGGTTAATTGTTAAGGAATAAGAATATACTCCCGAAATGTGTGTTCCTGAAAATATAGAAAGTTTTACTCAATCAGGAGGTGTCCGTCTACGGTTCGGGTATGAACCAATCAGGATGATGAGTGAGTGAGTGAGTGACTTCAGTTTTATGCCGCACTCAGCAATATTCCTCCTATATGGCGGCAGTCTGTAAATAATCGAGTCTGGACCAGAAAATCTAGTGATCAACAGCATGAGCATCGATCCGCGCAATTGGGAACTAATGACATGTGTCAACCAAGTCAGCGAGCCTGACCACCCGTTCCTGTTAGTCGCCTCTAGGGCTGTGTATTGCCCCAAATTCCGTATTGCGATATATTGCGATACACTCTTCTGTATTGCAATACGTATTGCAATATATTGTGAAAGAACAGTTATTGAGATCTGTCCACTTGGTAATATTCTTTTACCTTCAAATATAATCACAGTATATGTGAGTAACCATTGTGCATTGTATAGCTTCTTTCAAAGTGAAAAAAGGAAAATCAAGAACATTCTTCTGTTTATATTTTTATTTTAAAACAGCAGGGATCGACACTCACTAAAAACTTTAACTGGCTCTCTGGGCTAGCGGATTGTGTATGTCACTAGTCCTTTCCAAAAATTAATAGCCCCACGGCTTTACTATGAAAAGGACTTTCAACAAGTCTTTCTTTAATTGTAACTGCTGTCCAAAGGAAAGTTAGCATGCAGATAAATGTATGATTTCTCATTTCACATAGATGACAAATTCAACTGAAACTAGCTTACACCATGTCCTCCATCGACCCACCCATATTATTTAAGCTAACTTCTTTAAACTGCAAAAGGATGTTGAATTTCAAATAATTTAAAGAGTTATAGAATTTACTGTACACATCTTTATTACTCAAGAAAAAATTTAATTGAAGTCACAATCTAGTGACTTGAAGTGCACATTGTAAACAAAGCGATGATTTATGCACCTTTGTCTTTGAATAAAGTATTATTAACAGTATCTATTTCATGAATGACATTTGGTACACATTCACATAAAGAAATGATTTAACAAAACACTCCACGATGGGCAAAAGTCACTCTGTATCAGGTAAAGTACAATCCAACTGTTGATAAATACCAAAGGTATGTTTATCATATTATTCAAATAATACAACTTCAACTTAAATAAATGTATTTCTAATAGTAATACAAATTTACACACTTAAAATGTCCATATAAACCAGGAAGGAGCGTAAACTCGCTATTTTTCATCCATTTGTAAGATGCCATAATATCCTCTTGCCTATTTCTTTTTATATTTTCATTTTTTACGTAATCAGAAAATTATTATATTAAATATAGTTAGAACTAGCGATGAAATCTCCTTGGCTTTACTTTCTATCTAGTGTATCTGAGAGCTAGATATCATCGTCCAAAGCGAGACCCAGAACACATGTTTGACGAAGCGGCCGGATCTTCCAAATACAGCTGGAGGTCCTGCGGGGTCATGTACCTTTTTAAGTAGTTCGAGGAAGAAATAGTTCCCTCTTTAAAAGGCTGTATCTCAGTTGTTCTTGGGTCTACGTTAAAAAAAACAATTAGTGTTCTGGAATCAGCAGGACATCATCTACCATACTGGCACTTTTTGTGCAGAATTTGCACATTTTGGGAGCAAATTACTCAGAAAAGTGCTGAAAAACATGGCCAAAAACTGAAAACAAAAATAACTGCCAAACGGTACGTTTTAGCGACTTGACCCATTCAGGCAAAATTGTTGGGAATTCGATTGTGCATCTGTACAAGAAATTTGGAAGTGTTGGAACAATTAGTTCTTGAGATATTTGCTGTCAAACGTTGAAATTTTGGAATTAATTTTGAATTATTTCCCCTTGCTATTGGGCCAAGAGCCTAGAGATTTTTAAAGGGAAATATCTACACCTGGAGTGTAGCATCTGTGTGATTTTTGTAGCGATTGGAACATTGGTTTAGGAGTTATGTTTGGTACAAAAATGTGAATAATAAATAATAATAATAATAATAATAATCCGAACGATTACAATAGGTCTCCTGCCTAGAGGCAAAATAATATGCATGGTCGCCTATCTCCCGATAACCGTGGCTTTTCACCCGTTAACATGACACAACATTGTGAAATGCCCAAAGCTCCGTATGAACAACACTCTAGAAGATTCATTTGATGGCAGGTATTGTTCCAAAGCTCTAATCATCAATAATATCACAGTAACCTTGCCAGGAGTATTTTCGCAGTTGTAAGAAGCGATTATATTGGATAAAGATTGGTTTCTAATGACGCTTTTTCGTCACAGTCTGCTATAAGGTTCGTGATTGGTAAAAGTCATGCTCGTAAGCCAAGCATATTACAGCAATGGATACCATCCTCATAAACGACAACTTTTAGACAAAGGTTTTGGGCACAATAATGCTATCTGAACGTGTTAAGTAACAAATCGCCATATATACGTAAATTATGCAATTTATTGGACGTATCATGCTAGGTGGCGACCTGTGACAAATATTCTTTAGGCAATTTGTTTCACATTAAACATCATGTCGGAGCATGAAAATCGAGGAATTGGCGAAAGCCGAGATGTCACTTGACTTACATAACATGATTACTTGCGAAAGATGGAAATATGAACTTGGCTATGCGTTTGACAAGTTTATGAAAACTGTTGATTTTATTCATTAGTTTATTCAATTTTAATGATTTCCTCGAAACGTCCATACTTTGCTCTTTGACAATTTTTAAGTGGACCCATTGCCAATCATTTGGAAAGACTTCCGCCCAATCCCCATCCACCACCACCACCCATATTACCTGAATATGCACATATATCTTTTTCCTCACCATTAAAATGTAGGGGGTATAAGAGTAGGAAGTCTTATAATGCGATGTTGAATGGGTTAAAATTGAACAAAAAGAAATCTTTAGCGGTATACTGAGTGCGTTATAAGCGTATCGCGATACATAATTGTTACAATTTAATTATTGCGGTTTACCGGTAATACCGTGCAGCCCTAGTCGCCTCGTACGACAAGCATGGGTCACTGAAGGTTCATTCTAACCCGGACCTTCACGGGTATCAGGATGATGCATTACTACACTTCACTAGCTGTATGATTGGTTAGGTGACTGCACATGCGTAACGTACTGGTATTTGAATTGTGAGAATGGTAGTCTCAGGTTTGTGTCTTGTATCGGTTACTTGTGCATTGGGGTAGTCAAGTGGTTATATCGTCACACCGAAGACCTGGGTTCAATTCCCCACAGGGTAACATGTGAAGCAAATTTCTGTAGTTACCCTCTGTGATATTGCTGGAATATTGCTAAAAGTGGTGAAAAACTTTACTCAGTCAGTGTTGCTTTCATCAGGGACCTGTTCACCAAAGAAGTGTTTGCGGCATAACTTTCGTAACATTGCTTAGCAATATTTGTAGCACTAAGATTGCTTTGAGGAAAGGGCTCAAGGTTTTTCTCCATGCTGTCATGCTGTTTTGTTTCAGTCTCCATTGTGGACATCAAGATGTTGCAGTTTGGCAAAGGTTTGCGAATCCCAAAGGAAAAGAGGGATAGAAAAGGGGTAAGTTTGATTCAAAATTATGCAAAGAAATTTTTTAAATATTAAAATGTATTAAAAATATCAAAATAATCACAATACTTAGGTTATGTTTTCCCATTACTAAAATCATGTAACAATTTTATTGGCCAGCTTTCTATGATGGACATTTTTCAAAATTTTATGATGCTCAGTGCTTTTGGCTTAAATGTAAAATGAAAGATCTTCTCACGTTAACATGCGTGCCTTCTGTGTCAGTGGAATTGCTCACTAGTCCATGACAGGCACGGGGCGTCGCCAGTCCTCACCGCGTGATCACCTCATGCTCATTTCTCTTAGCCTTGGTCTCCACTGAGTGGGCGTGAAAATTTTCCTCTGAGATTTGCTCAATGGTTAAGCTCTGTTCAGGCCAGTAAGCGGATGTTTCGCCCGTTGTAATAAAATGACATTTTCAGCGCCAGGACCCACACACGCCGTGTGTTGATTAATAATGGGTGTTCTTGACTGGGACACCACGGCTGTCAGAAGTGTTCCAGGTCTGTCTAATAGAAGCGTTTGAATTTTACAAGCGATTATGGCACATTGCCCGAACGTTTTGGCGGTGGGAAGCTTCGAGACTAATTCTTGCAGGGTCTGGTCCATCTCCGGCTAAAAACAATGCTTAGGTGCTTCCCCACCCTCACTGCTCACCGTTCTCAATGCAGCCACGTCTGCGTTCGACAAGATTTTATGGAAGCCGTGGGATTCCTATTTATCACGAGAGCGTTAGAGGCTTTTGAGGGCTTCACTCACGCGGTTGGAGTTATCATGGTACCAGGGTGTGTGACTTGACGATATTTCTTCACCACGCCGGAACACCGATCTACATTATCGTAAGTAGGTCCTGCTTCTTGAAACGATCACCGGGCCGAGGAGACTTCTAAGCAAACGTTAATACCGTTGGGCGGGGATGGCGGTTGGAGCGCGCCGCGCTCTCTCTATTTCACGGCTGGGAGAAGTCGTTCTAGGTCGTTCACTTTCGAGCGGCGGCTCACGCCTTGAACCGGCCTCACATGAACCGGCTCGACACAACCGGCAAAACCGGCTGGCGAGGCGGCTCCACCTAACGAACCGGCTCCTGCAGGCGGAACTTGCTCTACGGCCGAGCGAAGCTCACCAGTACATCTTGAATGAATGGTTCACCTGGCCGAACTGATTCGCGTAATCAAATGGGTTCACCTGACTGAACTGATTCCATTACTCAAAGGGTTCTGCAGGAGCCGAGCAGGGTTCACATTCCGACTCAGTTCACCTCAACATGGGTTTCAGTTCGACACACCATCAGCGTTTTGATTCCGTAAGTAGCGTTCAGTCTCGCCTGAATTCGAGGTGGTTGGCCATTTCGATCGGTTCACCTAGCCCGTAGGTGTGTGTTTTCGTCAGAAGTGATTCTCGGAAGTCGGTCTCATTCACTGGGTGAATCAGGATATCCCGTCTTGTCAGTCTAGACTCCAGTAAGCGTAATTTTCGCGCACACTGTAACAATATTTACTTCCCTCAGTTCCCAATCGTCATGTTCCTGGAACTGGCGTTGTGGGAATGTGCTCCCTTATTAAGGGCGTTTTTAGAGACATGTAGACATACTTGCTCGATGGCCTGGCAGACAGAGCTTTCGTTACACTTCAACAGTTGATCACCCGACAAGCCCCGTTTTAGCGACCCGGTGCTAGCACTGCTCTCGTCGTCCGCCAGTTTCCATGGGGACGATTATTATATTTATAGCGAGCATCATTAGATGTCTTCCTCGTGGATTTCCGCCTCATCAAAAGCGCTCTGTGTTGCCAGTTGACTCACACATCCGATCTCGCCGTCAAATCGCGAGAACGGTCGCCCACACGAATCGGTTATACATATCTGAATGGATTCACCAGACCGAACCGTTTAGCCATACCGAATGGATTCACCACACACAATCGGCCCGCCATACCGAATGGTTTCACCAGACCGTACCATCAAATTGCCGAACCGGTTCACTACGCCCGAATCGGTTAAGCCATACCATAAATGGAATCACCAGACCCGAACCGTTTTAGCCGCGCGCCCATTAATATGAATCGACATTGACTCCAGTTTGCCATAATATTAAGACTGTTTTTCTTATCGCGAAACAGTTCATCATCGATTCAATTCACAGCGAAGCGATTCACCTCGGCCGAACATTTCACCTGCGCCTCACTGGTTCATCTGGCGTTCTAGATCTCTCCATCAGCTAGAGATCATTTAACGGTTCGGATTACCCGAACCGATCCATATCAGTCACGATTCAGATCACATCGGACTGATTCAGATCCGTCAACTTTCGGCTCACCACCCTGAACTGATTTACCAAGCCGGCTGAATTATCGTTTCACCAGATTGAAGCTCCCTATCGTCGAACCAGTTCACCTGGCGTTCAAGATCAATGTACAGAGGTAGTAGCTATGTGCTTCACCATGCGATTTGATTTACATGTGTTGTTAGTAAGCGCCAGTCATCTAGAGATATGCGCATTTCGGCACTTGGCGGCCTGGCGATCCCAGTTCTCAAGAGTCCTCCGTGACCGGAGCTCATCTCATTCAGATTTAATCTACCATCAATCTTCACTTTTGATGAATGATTAGGTTCAAGCTGATTTACCGCCGGTGTAGATATCAGTTCTGCAACCACCGATATGGCATAACTAGATAAGCTTGCGAGCCAGGAATACTCTCTGACGCTCCGATGAGTCTTGTTACTACAGACTACTCGTAACAGCGTGTTTATTGTATCCTTGGTACGAAATTGTTGCAGGCGCATTCGTCATCTTCGATTCTCCTTTGTTTTACATGATAAGCAGAAGTTTCTGGACAGATAACAAATGGATGAAGTTCTTTACGCGCATGGTACCGGCAATGTTTTGTCAAATAGCCAGCATATAGCTCAGCCGAATTTATGGGTTGCGATTCGCCCGGTTAACCAAAGACCATGTTGTCATTATTTTTGTCTTTCGTGTGTAACGTTTTGCAAATGGCGGACTACTGTTTCAATTTGCGAATTTTGATGATGATTAGAGTGACTATGAAGTGCCCTTGCAGAATTCTCTTGGTCCCCACGAATCGGATACCAAGTCCGGCATATAAATCTGAAGTAACAACGAGGCAGCTGCCATTCCCGATAAGAGTGACTGTGTCGGGTTTTTGACAGCCAGTCGAGAGAGACTGCTTATTGAGGGTGGCCGGACAGAAACACCCGTGAGCGGTTTACACTTTGGTCAAGGCATCGAGTTCAGAGGTCACTGCATTATGCAAGGATTGTCACCAGGCGGCGATCTACTACCTATATCACTCCACCTGGCGCACCATTATTTTGTTCAGCCAAAGCGTTCCTGAGGTCACCGATCTCGAATTCCTGTAATTTGTTTTATAATGTGAATGTTCCTGTAGATTGTCTGACAATCTCCATGCGCTGAACATACTACATTGAGCACTCCGTCAGAACTGCAGCGTGGTTGCTCGACTTATTGAGCGTTCTTATATCAGGAGATATCTTTTTGTCAGAGGCAAGAGTGGTTAGACCTCTCATTTCCCTCGATATCACGATGGCGTGGGGTGGCCTGAGTGGTTAAAAGCGTTGACTGCTTCGTCCGCCAAGACCCGGTCGGGTCCCACATGGGCACAATGTGTTAAGCCCATTTCACGGTGCCCCGCGCCCGTGATTTTGTTGGATTATTGCTAAAGCGAAAACTGGCTTCTGTAGTCGAGTCATTCAGTCCCCTCACGACCTGTGAGGCGCCCTACCTTCATCGGATACATCCAGACTAATGAAATATCTTCGATTTACTTTTATGGGGCGTCGGTGATACCAATGGAGGATCCTGCTGTATGAACATATCGCGCCCGTGGAGTTTTACTCAGATACCCATTCTGTTAACCAGCTACCTGCATTGTGAAAGCGTGACAATTGACAACAATATCAGCTGACTGTGTTCAAGCCAGCCGGGATCGAGTGGTCCCTTCAACTCCACAGACAGTTCATCATCAAGTTGCTCGCCAATTAGGATGGCTGCTAAAATTCGAACAATCAGGGTAACTTACCGACCGGCTGTTTCTTATTGGGACAATATTCAAGCACGCCAGGTCATGATGTTTGTGCCCAAGGAGAGGTGGGACCAGATTCTGTGTAGCACCACTAGTGTTGGTCCAACCCACACCTTTTTAAGCCAGTGGCAGAAGTTACTAGGGTGGTTGGCGTCGGCACAAGTGCTGACTGACAGGGGGCCAGCTGCAGCTTGCCCTCTTCAGATGGTTCTGTGCCCATACATGGGGGGATGACAGCCCCAGGGGAGTTGATTAAGTCTTCCGCGCAGCAAACATTCAGTCTTTACGTTGGTGGCTCAACAAGTGGAATGTTTGTGTTGGAGGTCTCTAGGGTGCCCCTTCATACCGACTCAACACCTATTAGTTGGCACATCTTGCAGAAGCTAAGAGCTCACTTTCTCCATCAAAGTGGCCTAGCAGTGGTCATCAGGAGAAAGGGCCCTTCATCACAGCAATTGGGTCAGCATTGTCATTATAGCCTGATATTCGGCTTTCGGGACATGTGTCGCTTTGGCGCAGATGATCACTCAGTTCGCGATCGTTTTCTGCTTTGTGGTACAATCTAGAACCCAAATTCTGAATTTTTATTTCTGATTTGTGTCTCCCGATTCTTCTGGGACTTGTGAATTTCGATTCAATTACCCTTTCACTCTCCGGGGCCGGTGTCTGTGGGGGGTTGTGTCGAAACAGGGGCTGGCCTGATACTGGTGCGTCAGTGCTTGAAATAAATGGTAAATGGAACTGTTTACACTGGCTAAGCTCGCGTCCTTTCACTTTCATGAAGGTAGTGACTAGACATACCACATTGCTCGGGAATCCCGGTCCCTGGAGCACTTGTGTTTAGTAAGTCAATGGGTTGAACTGACCATTGCAGTCTGCGGCTTTTGAGGCAGCTGGAGGGTCGCTCCTCACTTACTGTCCCCTGCTCCTGGGCAAATTCGCGTCAGTCAAAGAGTGAGTCATTCCCGAAGTGGTTACCAGTAGCGTTACTATAAAAAGCATCACTTAAGGCGCCTGCCCGATCTCGCGTAGAGAGCTGTTTATACCCTTGTCTACTGCTTCCATGGGAGTCTCTGCCTGACACTCTCATAGTCAGCTCACTGACTACAATACTCTGAGCCTGCACACTTTTACCCGGTTTGCCACCACCTCTCGACGTTCAACCCTCATGAAACCCAGGGCATTGGCTTCTACTATGGCGTTGCGGCAGCAGCTGCTGGATTAACTGCCATAATGGAGGGTTGTTTTGGCGATCTGACACGGTATTTTAGATCTCATTACCTCCAGAGATGTCGGTGTGACCAGGATATTCCAAGGCCTTCATCAGTTTGGACCACTGCGTCCTTTGCCCAGCAGTTATCAGCGGCACAACATGCATGAATGAACTTCCTTGATAGCTCCGATGCTATATGGATCCCTGTGCAGTTGATCCCCAAGTCGCGTCGTTTCTGCTTGTGTACAATCTGAATAAATCTGAAAACTTTTCTGATTCGTCTTCCAAGTTTAGATTTCTCCTTCTCATTTGTTTGAGACTACAGAGAATCGCCACCTCACTTACTGTCCTCTGCTCCCGCAGGAGTAATTAAGTCAGTGAAGTGAGTCCTTCGAAGTGTTACACTTCATAGCGTTCATGCTCCTAAGTGCCTATACACATCTATGTGATCTTATTGTGGTAAGTAATGGAAGTCACAAGATGATGTTGTGGTACTGAGCGTTAAAGTGTGAGTTTTACGATTCAATTTCTCTTTCACCCACCTCCTGGGCCCGGTGTCTGTGGGGGTTGTTTGAAGCAGGAGGCTGGCCGATACTAGTCGTTAGACTTTTTATTCTGAGGTACCTTGGAAATAGTGGCGTCGACTGATTACACTCGTTAAAGCTCGTCCTTTCACTTTGTGAGGTAGTGACTGAACACCACATTGCTTTCAGGAGCTCCGGTCCTAGGAGCAATTGTGCTTAATAAGTCAATGGAGTTCAGAACTAACCCTCCTGCGTAGTAACTTAGAGTAGTTATTGGCCCTGTACAGTTGCTTCCCTACAGGTTGTTTGGGCATAACACTTGGCTGTTATCGCTTGCATTTTTGGGTAATCTATGACCCACCTTCCTACCGTGGGATAAGGGCAAAAGTCATTGAGATAGGATAAAGTTTAAAAATTTGAAAATTTTAACTATAAATTGTATATTTATATACTTATCTATCTCCGCCGCGATAAATCCCTCCCCTACCTCCCCACTACATAGATTACCACATAGTTCGGTTTGTCCTTTATGGCTCCAAGATGAGAATGAGTATGTGGGAGGTGATCAAGCATTGGGTGAGACTATAGCATGCCTCGTGCTGTCATGGACTAGTGAAACACACGACTGACACACCTTGCACTGCCTTTACGCGGGGAGAGGGGCAAGAGTAGGCCTTGGAGCAAAGTTTTAATTAGTTTCCACTCATGGTCGAATGAAGAGAGAGGTGCAAGTCGTGAGATAGGATAAGTATATAAATATACAATTTATAGTTAAAATTTTCAATTATATAAAAATTGCAGTACATATTTTAGGTTTTGTTCTCTTCTATTGCAGATAAGCAGTTTTGCATTCGCTATAGTGCCAGACACAACTGACGCCCTACAGTTGGTAGCTAGTTGTGAGAAGGAGTTTGACATGTGGACGGATGGAATACATGCCTTGTTAGGGCAGGAGGTGAGTCGTGTGGCAGGACAGGTGTAGCTTGTGCAGGACGTGTGGTATTGGATGGAGATGTGTGGTGTGGGGCAGAGGTGTGTGGTGTGGGGCAGGAGGTGTGTGCAGGAGGTGGGGCAGGAAGGTGTGTGCTGTGGGGCAGGAGGCATGTGGGGTTGGGCAGGAGGCGTGTGGGGTGAGGCGTGTGGGTGGGGCAGGAGATGGCATGTGGGGTGGGGCAGGAGGTGTGTGGAGGTGGGGCATGAGGCGTGGGTGGGGTGGGACAGATGGCGTGTGGGGTGGGGCAGGAGGTGTGAGGTGTTGGGCAGGAGGGCGTGTGGGGTGGGTGGGCGTGTGGGGTGGGGCAGGAGGCGTGTGTAGGGCAGATGGCGTGTGGGGTGGGAGCAGCAGGTGTGAGAGTGTGGGGCAGGGCGTGTGGGGTGGGGTGGGGCAGAGGCGTGTGGGGTGGTGGGGGCAGGAGGTGTGGGGCAGGAGAGTGTGGGGGTGGGGCAGGAGGCGTCTTGAGGTGGGGTGGGAGGCGTGTGGGGTGGGGCAGAGGCGTGTGGGGTGGGGCAGGGGGTGTGTGGCAGGACAGTGTGGGGCAGGACAGCGTGTGGGGGTGGGCTTGTGCAGATGGCGTGTGGTGTGGGAGCAGGAGGTGTGTTGTGTGGGGCAGGAGGCATGTGGGGGTGTGAAGTGATGTGGGGCAGGAGGTGGCGTGTGGGGTGGGGGCAGGAGGCGTGTGGGGGTGGGGCAGGAGGTGTGGGGTGTGGGGCAGGAGGCGTGTGGGAGTGGGGCAGATGGCGTGTGGTGTGGGGCAGAAAGGAGGTGTGTGGGGTGGGGCAGGAGGTGTGTGGGGTGGGGCAGGAGGCGTGTGGGGTGGGAGCAGGAGGCATGTGGGTGGGTGGGCAGCAGATGGCGTGTGGGGTGGGAGCAGAGGGTGTGTGGTGTGGGGCAGGAGGTGTGGGGCAGGAGGCATGTGGGGTGGGGTGGGGCAGATGGGGCGTGTGGGGTGGGGCAGGAGCATGTGGGGTGGGGAGGCAGAGGCGTGTGTGGGGAGTGGGGCAGGAGGCGTGTGGGGTGGGGCAGGAGGGTGTGAGGGGTGGGGGCAGGAGGCGTGAGGGGTGTGGGGCAGGGAGGCATGTGGGGTGGGGCAGGAGGTGTGGGGGTTGGGCAGGAGGAGGTGTGGGGCAGGGGCATGGGAGGCATGTGCAGGGGTGGGGCAGGGAGGAGTGTGGGGTGGGGGCAGGAGGCATGTGGGGGGTGGGGCAGAGAAGTGTGGGGTGGGGCATGTGGGGTGGGGCAGAGGCGTGTGTGGGGTGGGGCAGGAGGTGTGGGGCAGGGAGGTGTGTGGTGTGGGGCAGGGGGCGTGTGGGGTGGGGCAGGAGGCGTGTGGTGTGGGGCAGGAGGCGTGTGGTGTGGGCAGTTATAGCATGGGGATGTGGCATAGCTGTCTTGATGATGTAATAGAGTGTGGGGTGGGGACAGGCATTCCCATTCTAATCTATTTTTGTGTACTTGTCAGATGACTAGCAGCCAGACAAATCAGGACCTGGAAACACTGCTGAGCATGGAGATCAAGATCCGCCTCCTGGAGACTGAGGGCATCACCATACCCACTGAAGCTCCACCCCTTCCTGCACCACCACCAACCTCAACTTCGTCTACCACCTATGACATGCAAGAACACTCTAGGTCTGTTTTGTCAATGCTTACTGTGGACTCTTTGGAAATGAACAGAAGAGGAACTGAGTTTCTTACATATTGAGGAGGAACTATCAGAACATGTCCACAAATCAAGGCTTGCAGCATTTCCTGGAGGGTTCTCATTGTATATTGTGTCTTGTGTCCAGAGAATTGTGTCTGTGGAGGGTCTCATCATGCATTGTGTCTTGTGTCTTGAGAAATATGTCTATGGTGGGTCCCACATTGTGTCTCGTGTCTGGAGAAATAATGTGTCTGTTGAGGGTGCAATAAGTCTTGTGTCTGTTGAACTGTGTGTCTTTGTGCATTGTGTCTTCATGCTGGACCGCCATGAAGGCTGAATTTGCATCTTTGAAATAACCAGAGGATAAGGTCACCCAACACCATGTCGTACCCAGGCACAAATGTGAAGCCTTCATGTATGACATTACATTTGTTTGAGGTCACTACAGCAAGAATAGAAGTGTTATCGAAAGAATGCTGCTAATAAAAGTCAAGGATCACTTTCAGTGTTAAAGAACCTGGTGAAGGTTAACTTTTTGAAGTAGTACAAAACAGAAGGGTTGTCAGCAACAGCAACAAGTAATGTTTTGGGTGTCGAATAATATCAGAAACAGGGTCTCAGAGACGTTCATTGAATATTGGTGGCAGGTAACGTCATGGAGATCGAGACATCTCCAGGAAGAGGCATTTGAAGGTGTCATCATGACTACTGAATGAGAACTGAGATTCCAGCAGCAAGAATGTATAAGAAGCCGGACTATAATGACATCGTCAAGCTAATACATGGGATGAAACATGCAGTGTTTTAATATCGGTGGCCATGTACGATCCGGCAAAATAACAATATGCAAGGTACTTTACTCTCAGGTCTTAGAAAATGTTTGCTGTGAATGAAGAAGTGTCACAAAAACAAATGGCCGTATTTTCGTATGTGCAACCCAAAAATGACTCCTTATGCAACAGAGCTGTGCCTAGTATTGGACACCCTGTGTTTGTGGTGGGGTAGCCCAGTGGTAATAGTGTTCTCTTGTCACGCCGAAGGCCCAGGTTTGATTCCCCACATGGGTACAATGTGTGAAGCCCATTTCTGGTGTCCCCTGTGGTGATATTGCTGGAATATTGCTAAAAGCAACGTAAAACCCACCTCACTCACTCACTCTTTTCGACACTTTCTCACTGATGTTTAATGTACTGATGACAATACAGGACCTGCACTTCCGTCACATCATGGCTTCTGGGTATGCTGTTTGGGCATTATGAACAATGTCTTACCTTTATTCTGCTTCCAGTGATATTGTCCTCTGAGATAAAGGATTACTTCTTTCATTCTGGCATGTCATCAAAAGTGTTCTCTCGTCAAATGACAACAGCTGGAACAGCATGAAGTGTGTTAACATCAGGTCTACATTTCACGTTGTTCAATAAGTCATTACTACAATGTCCAATGTGTTTGGGCTCTTAACAGCAACAGCCTCCAGAGGAAGTGACAGAGCATTTGTTGGAAGTAACATGTAACGCACACAAAATACACCTACAACTTGAGTGCGCCAGAGCAAATCAAATAATGAACAGGTGCTTGGCACTTTATCCAAGCATCCAATGCCTTTCATCTCAGATGTTTTTAAAGAAGATTACAAAGCCTACAGTCTGTTGCAAGAAAAGGAAGCTTGGCAGTCCACAGAGAAATGTCACGATATGCCCAAAATTGAGACTGTTTGTGAGGACATGCTTAAAATTGAGACTGTTTTCCTGAAACATTGCATTGGAGGCCATATATTTGTGTGAACCATGATTTTTGAGAGAGACAGAATGTCATCTTTTCCTAATGGTGCTGATGAAGTGGTTGGTGTTAGGAAGATGTAGTGACTGTAGTTATTGATGACGCTTCACAAGTATTGTACATTCATCATCCCCATCATCATCATCATCCAAGTGGAGCGTGTCGATGTGTAGATACTAAACACAATACCCAAGGGTCAACAATGAACATGATGGAAAGTGTGCTATGTTTCTGTCACTGATACAAAACTTAGACCAGTACCTCCTGGATTCTGCGAGAAATTTGTAAAAAATCTGCAGCAAATTACAGTAAATTCTGCATCCCATTTTTCAAAATTTTGCAAACAATTCTGCAGTTAAAAACTTGAGTGAGTGAGTTAATATTTAACGTCACATCGGCAATATCTCAGCCATATTGTGCTGAAGTTAAAAACTTGAAACCAAGAACAAAATAATGAAATTTCAGTCTCCAAAAAGATTGATTTTGTGAACATAAGATGCCAGATTCAAATAATATTATTGTAAGGTGCCTAAGAAACGATTACCTTATGCATAAATCATCTTTATTCGTGAATATTTTGTAAATATCGTTATAACAAATATCTCAATTCATTTCTGTGTAGTCAATCATAATTTTGACATGTACCCCTTCTTTTCGTTTTAGGGTTGATAGTCAATCTTCATTCATCATTCAAAATAAGTAAATTCGTGGCAGAAAAATGGCAAACTCTGCAGGTATTCTGCATGAAAAGGTAATTTCCATGATTTATTCTGCAACCGTGGAATCCAGGAGTGACTGTTAGATACATCTGTCTTTGATCCAGTCGGTTTTCAATTAAGAGGGGGCCTCTTTCAGAGTGAATACATTCCTGAATGCTGACCAGTATCTCTGATATGATATATGTGCTCAACAAATACTTCGTAGATTGTTCTAGAATATATATATAACCATGGTAACATTATACTCAAATATTACTATGAATACATTTGAATATTTTGTAGCATAAGGTGCTGTTCTTGAATTGTGTTACATGACTGTACATAAAGTAACCATAAATATCTTGTAAGAGTGTAAGATTTGCTATAAAACCAGGGCATAGATTTTCAAAGCTCCCTTAGTGCTAAGCGAGTCGTAAGTTAATGTTAATGTATGGCACTTACGACTATCTTAGCGTTAAGAGAGCTTCGAAAATCTAGGCCCTGGTCAACTGAAGCCCCATAGTCAAGATATACCGGATATATGTTTTTCAGACATGGTTATTGTTGTTACTGAATTCCTATTGGTTCTTTCGTCCAGACCCTGTTAAACAAAACAATCTTAAAACTAAGGCAATCGTAACTCTGATAATATAGCTAAGGCATAGGACAGCTACACTGCTAAGATTGTTTGGTGGAATGGCTTCCTGGCAGAAGAATATTAATCGAAATTGGATGAAAACATCTCAGCATTTTCTGCTTTCATGCGTATAGTATTGGGTGCGATGCCATTTTGTAGCCTGATTGCTTTCTTACGCTCAGGTCATTTCTATTATAGTTACAAAACAACCTAAGTTATACAGAATTATGGTTACAAAATGAACTGAGGTGTACAAAACTACTGGGTTGCAAAATGACCAAAGGGCCACAAAACTACGAGGTTAAAACAAATTCAAACCTACTGGGTTACAAATGACAAGCAGCTACTGGGTCATGAAGTATAGAAAACCAGAGCCCTTATTCACGAAACGTTCGTACCCCTAAGAATTCTTAACTTTGATTGTAGCCAATGTGTTAAGAATGGGCTTAAGAAGTTCGTAGGGCTTACGAAGTTTCGAGAATAGCTAGCCAGGTTAGGAAGTGACCATTACGTTGTACCAGGCTTTGCAGGGCCACTGGAATATGGCATGTAGCTGCATTAATGTCGAGATACCGATTAGCAGCTGGTCTGTGTCTGTTCAGACAGCACCAGGTAGAATCATGTCGTCATGTTACATCAGCAGTAGGAAGTATCTGTTGTAGATTCCTACGCTGATTGTGCTGATGAAATAAGGCATGGCTGTACAATGAAGCGTGTGATATTTTTCATATCTACCCAATTACCCCAGATTATTCAACAGTGAAGTGAATGAACAATTGTTCTTTCTTATGACGAGGAAATATTAAGTCGTTATTGCACAAATGTTTTACTTTGAAAAATATTGTGTTCTTTCACCTCTTTTGAGCAGTATACAATGCTGCTTTTGCAATCACCCACTCCCTGTTGTATATTTTCAGACATTTTCAGGCATAATGAACAGGGCTTGTTCCACAAAGCGAATGAACAGGACTTGTTCCACAAAGCGATGACTGCATGTCATGACACTAGTCAAGCAGGTGTACTAAGTATGGCACTCACGATGCAACCATTTTGGCACAGGATTATATTGGTTCAGTTGGCCCTTTTCATTCAAGTCCAGATTGTTTGATAACACCAACCCTCTTTACTGCACATTTTTCTGAAACTCTCTGTAAGGCCGAGAAGTGTGACAACTATTCAACAGGCTAAAAGTAAGACCTTTGTAATTTCTATACCTTTTGACGACAGTTGACCTGTTAAGTTTGTGGAATCACTCCTGATTTTAAGCATCTATGCTACATACTTTATCCAGAATTCTGGAATTCTGTATGTGGTTTTCAATCAAACTGTTCAGAGGACACTGGTGGCCTAGTCCTCTAAGGTACCTCAAATCATTTGTGCATGCCAGAAACCTTTCTGTGTTTGAATCCCATGTCGCACCCATAAAGTTTCAGGATTGTCATCACCATGGGCCTGGCTTTCCCACCAAAATTGGTAGCGTGACCCAATATAACTAGGATAGCATCCATAGTTATGTCAAACCAACATCACTTATTCAATCAAACTGGTCAGTTTAAAAGGAAGACAGATTTCGATATTGTTAAGTTGACTAAATGTTGAGGGGCGGTGGGGTAGCCTAGTGGTTAAAGCGTTGGCTCGTCACGCTGAGTACCCGGGTTCGAATCCCCACATGGGCACATTGTGTGAAGCCCATTTCTGGTGTCCCCCACTGTGATATTGCAGGAATATTGCTAAAAGCTGCGTAAAACCATACTCACTCACTCACTCACTCACTAAATGTTGCCTGTGCTGAGTGTGAGACGTTGAACACTATCGCTTGTTAGTTTAGTTGTGTTTGCTAGCTTCATGCTGATAAGTCTAGTTGTGGATAGGCAGGGAAGTCAGATTGTTTATAGAATAATAGTGATCGCTTATAATGTTGTACCCATGAGAAAGGATGTCTAAACAATGTTACAGTGATTCCTTGTTAAGTCATACTGAGGCACAGAGAGCTTTTTGTACATAGAGAAACAAGATTGCGTGTACAATATGAAAGTAATTGTTTGGTACTGTTGTACACAGGTACAATTGTTTGTAATAATTTCTTGATTGTCATGCACAGGCGGAGAAGCAAGATTGTCTGGAAAGGATGATAGTGTTTACCTCGTAATGTCATATCCAGGTAGATAAACACGTCCTAGTGCTCCGAATCATCATCATCACCAGTGTTGTGATCACCAAGTGCTACTGCCACAGGCTGCAAAGGAAGACAGCTATTTATTTTTCATATATTATGCAGCTCGTACAAATATTTTCTACCATGTTTGAAATGTTGTAGAAGCCTACAGCTTCCATTGATGATGTGCCAGAAGTTTAGTCTGAAGAGTATCTCATTGTTGTTAATGACATGTTGCCATTTAATTTTGATAAGGGTATGACATCTTGCTTTTAAAATGGAGGGGATTTGTACAGGGGTCAACCCTTTGGCAAAATGGGGTCAGTTCAAAAGAGATCATAAGCTTATGTGATCTTTGCTCCCACAATTTAGCGTATTCTTTGACTGAACTTACAGAATGAAACACTAGTATGATGACTGTACAAGGCGATCTTGCTTTGCTCTTTGATACGCAATAGCTTTTGACAGTGATAAGTTTAGCGATGCCACAAACAGGTTTGTATTTTCAGTCGGCTTAGCCTAAAGAATGCATGTAATTGTTCAAATTTAGCATGAACTGAAGGATCCTTTGCCATTTCCCTAATGTTAAAAAATGTGTAGTTTTTGCGGTCCTTAGATTCAAAATACGAATGGGAACAACCTCAGGGATCCCATAATCACCAATAATTCAAAACACTGAATGTTCACAAGTAATATTATTTAAGATAGAGATGGTATATATAATTCACAATAGCACACCCTTGACAATACAGACATGTTGTATATGATTCAGAATATAGCACAATCATGACATTAATAGCTTAACGGTATAGTCAACTCTGGTAATATGGATAAGATGGAACATAATTCAGAGAGCGCATCTGAATATTTGTTTGTGTAGTTTCCTGTCAGACTTTTCCTGACTGGTCTGGTTTATTCAGAGTTTGATATGACTCTGATAACAGTTTGTTCTTGTGTAGCATCTTCTGTCTTAATTAAACAGATTTTGAGGAAAAGCATTCATATCTCATTAAACAGAATATTTATGAACTGATTTTAATATGTACTATTCACACTTTGCTTAGGATGAAATCATAGATTTAACAGAAAACTATGATGTGGGGTCAAATTTGGTTTAAATATCTAAGCTTATTGTAGGCGTGGATCTAAGGTTTCAGTATGTCACTGCATCTTGTGGATCCCATATACCTGCTATTGACAGGTGTTGTGTACTTGTCAATGACCCGTGCCATGATTTGCAAAATGGTTGATTGGTGCCATGAAAACCATTTTTATGGCTACTCATGTATCAAGATAATATGGTTAGATTAAAGTGACTGTTTGCCTAAAGAGGGGTTGCAATATTATTATCTATCCAGTTTTAAATGGAAACAATTTCAAATTATACATCTATGTTTAAGTAAAGATGTGCATTTTTGTGATCCTTAGCAAAGTGTGAGTAGTATATATTGGTTCATAAAAGTGTAAACATGAAAATCCTTGTGCAAACTGTAATTGCAACCATTTCGTAACTCCTCACATGCTAATACACATTGAAATCAGTTCTAATGGATACTTATGTCAACAACATGCTTATTTAATGATTAACACCTAAAGTTGTGGACTACAGTTAATGACTATGGTAGTTAGTGACACAATAATTCAACATAAGCCCGACCCATTGTATTATCAGCCAATCAAGAAACACTAGTCTATTACTGGGTGTGTACACTGGGTATAAAACAACAAAATAGATTGAAGATTCAGTCAAATCAAAAGGTGTACTTTCAAAATGTTTTGCCATGTTTACAGTGATTCAAATGTATTTTCATTTTTGAAAAGATGTATCTAGTAAAATTTCCACTGAAATTTGCTGTTTATGTGAAGTTGTGTATTGC